AGCCTCAAGAGACAACCAGCTTGGTGTTTGGTGACATACAAGTGCCTGCCAGAGGCGGGCAGCAGTGTGAACTGTTCCTCTGAAAGGAGCAATCGCTTCTGCAGTGGGAGATGTTAATGCACCCTGAGACAGCAGGCCACAGAAACATCACACTGACAAAATCCTCTTGACATGGCCAATGGAGATTTCAGTAACAAGGGAAACTATTTTGACAAAATCTCCTGTAACCATTTGCTTTGTATCACTAAAGAAATCCTGTCATTCGGAAGAGTTTTACAGTGAGAGAAGTAAAACATAAGGTCATAGGAAAGAAGCCAGATTTTTAACGTCCTTACACAAAGATGATTAGAAATTCAACATTAAGTTGTTTCCACTGTACATTTGTATACAGAATAAAAACTGGGCCCCAGGTACAGCCTGTGCAGTACAACCCAACATTCTTCCTTTGAAAACAGATGTAATATTTGGCAATATTTTCCAACCAGTTGCTGAAGTCACACCCGCAAGTACCTGTAGGTCTGTGAGCAGAGCAGATGCCCCCACAAGCCAAACTGACTAAAGCCACTGCATGCCAGGACTGTGTGCACGGGGATCTGCTTGCAAAAGCTCTCTCCCACCTTTATGTCCAGATTTCATGCACATCAAGTTTTTTAGCATTTTTTTAAGAATGGATTCCATGCATTTTGCCCCTCTAAGAGTTAGAAGCTCAGGCAACAAGAAGCTCACAGTCTGTCTGTACCTCCAGGAAGTACAAGCAAAAGCAAGACGTAGATACATACCCTAAAAGCAAGACAGAGATACACATCCTCGTCTTTCCAATACCTGTTCTGGAGGGGGGGGATTCTCGTGGCTGTCCTTTCCCTTTGCCCCCTCCTCCACCCCAAATGGCACAGACCATGCTGTGACATGTCAGGACCACACCGAGTGCTCAGCAGCCAGGGAGAGCTCGGGGCTGCCTCAGGAAGGGCCCAAAACTCACTTTGGCGTTGGCCAGAGCCAGAAAAGAGGCAGGTGGATACATGCACAGACACAGCCACTTTAACAGTTCATCTCACTGAAATGATGGCACATAGAACATGCAGAAACCTGTAAAAACAGAATTCCAAAATGAAGGGTGGATATTCCGGTCTGCAGGGTTACGAGCCCCACGGGTCAGCAGCTATTCTGTCCGACAGGGCGAGGAAGGAGGCTGGGTTTCTGCAGGACATCGTGGTCCCTGTTTTGTAGAGAAGGAACAAGCACAGCAACATCACCACACCTTGTAAAATCATTTGCATTCATTTGCATGACCATGAAATCTCTGCAGACCCCTGGACCTTGCACACTGTATTAAGAAGCTACCACCAGCTGTAACCATCTTGTAGCAAAAAAGGCGTAATTTCAATGAAATACTAATTGCAGAGCACATCCTACTAGGGCTCCTTGGGGAGAAGAGAAAAGCTGTGGGGAGGACTGCACACATGGTTCATTTGCATCAGTTACCCTTATTATTCCTCTTTGTTTCCTTTTTTTTCCTTCAATACCAATTAAAGCTCATGCTGTGACGACCATGGGGCAGAGAGGGAGTGATGGGGAAGCACACTGAGTGACTGGCAGACATTTCTGCAGGTTTAACTTATCCCATTACATCTTACTTTTTCCTAATTCCTTATTTTTCCTATCTTTTTTTTTCTTTTCCCCTTAAAAGCCTAAGTAGGAGATGGTCAAGAATATGTTGCATCTAGGGATAAAAACCTGATGGAAACAAATTCCTGCTTTCTTTGCATAAATAACCCTGTTGACCTCCTCCGCGGACAATGCCCAAATAGCTGTGGATAACCAGAGTTTTCCCCCATGTTTGGGAAGCTCCCGAACAGGAGGCGTACACCTGACTGCTTACTCTGCGCAGGTTTTGTAGTTACATCCAAGGGGAAACAATGCCTCCAAATTGTTTGGGGCCTCAAACAGGTTAACACAGGTCTCACGTCAGCAGCTCTGGAGATAGCTTTCAACTCCAGAACTGATTTAACTTCAAAAAAAACAGGGGTTCATTTAACACTGTCCGCTCCAGGAGAGTTAATTTTCACCTGAAAAGGTCATGAACAAGCAGAAGTGTGAAATCTAGTAGCACCACAGGTTTCTACTCAAATTGCTATGGGAAACATCCTCCCACCCTCCTCCCTCTTTCTGCAATTGGAAACTTGATTTCAAAGCAAGTTCTGCCCGTAGGGCTCAACTATGTGGCCGAGTCACTTCCTAGGTATATGCAGCCATTTGGCCCTGATTTGGATGTACATCAGCGGAAAGACTTGCAAAGCTTTCCCTCCAAACCAAACTCACTCCCCTCCCGTGCTGCCTTGCCATCAGACTGGCCACACTGTGCTGATGGCACCGGGGAGACCCAGGCTGGGGTCCCTCCAAGGGTCATACCTGCAGTGTGCCTCAGCAGACCTGCCCGGGGCTTTCTGTGCCTTTTCTGGGTCATGGAGGAAGTAATTTTGTTCCATCTCAGGCCTGAGAGTATGAAAACAAAGAGCAATCTAAGCTGTGCCACCTCACGGTGCTATGGTGAGAAGCTACGGAGAATTCAGAGGCTGATTCCTAACGAGCACGAACACTGCCCTTTGCATCTTTTTAGCAATGAAAACGTATTTTTTTCCTGACAGCAGGTTTCAGAAGTAACATTCCCTCTTTAAAGTACGTTTTGTGCGCCCTGTTGGCTCAGGAGGCCTCATTTCTATGAGCTGTTCAGTGCTCTGCAGTAGATACTGGCCATCTCACTGCCCATTGGCTTAGAGCATGCAGTGCACATTTGGGTGCTCTATCAATTATAGTTTTAATAAAGGCTTTACTAAAAAAATGGCTTAATAAAAGTTGTTGGGAATAGAGGTTTATATTTTCCACATAATTTAAAGCCAAAGGTTCCTGTGACACTGACCCACACCAGAAGTGTTGGCCCTTTCAATTCAATTCTCATGTCTATCACCCTCATGAATAGCTGAAAGGCTCAATGTGCTGTTTCTAAATTGCCACGGGCTGTTCTGGGGAAGAAATGGGCTTAAGCAGGGCAAACTGATTGACTCAATTCAATTAAAAATTAATCTAAACACCATAAACCTATGTTTTACCCCAATAGCATCTTACTTAGCATCATGCTGTATCTAGAATAAGCAAGACCAACTTACACCAAGCACACCAAAAACAAACTCCTGGAAATACTGGCTACTGCTCCTTGGTCATAGAATAGGCTTGGTATTCAGCACAGACCATTAAAAATTGAAATCTCAACAGATTTTAATTTGAAAATGCTTCTTTGAGGGATTAGATACTTATAATTGCAAGTGGCAGTATTTTGAACTGACTCTCCTGCCATAAATTTGACTGTAATTTTGCTAACGGCCTTTGTTCACAAAGGCTTTCATGTGTACAAACCCAGCCACGAGATCAGGGACTTGGTCTCCGCATTTGTCAATCATTTGACTGTAACATTTAAGTCTTGATTTGAATAGCATGAAAAAGGACACAAGTTTTAGGAGAAAACTGTCTCTCCTTGTTGAAACTATACATGCTTTTTGAATGAAAAATCATCACAATTGCTGCTGAAACTCTTGAGTGTTGAAAAAAAAAAAGGCATTTTTGTGCAGAATGGCAAAAGTTTCAGTAATGTAAAAAGCGTTATGAAGGGCTGGTTGGGTTTCTTTTTTAGTAGAAAGTCATCTTGAGATTAAAAAGTAACAATTGCTACATGCTTCATTCCAATTCCTTCGTGAGATTTTTTTGCTTAGAAAGAAATGTCAAGCTCGGTTCACAAGGGACAGCTCACAGCAAACCCAAACAGGCAGGTCAGTACACACCAGTGCCTGGAAAACCTGCCCTCTGGTTCGCTTCATCCCCGGGGCTGGTGGATTTCAGGGTACACAAAGCTGGGAGCGTTAGTCAAAAGCCGGGGGCCCCCCAGAAGCCTCTCCTATGGGATCCCCACCATCTCACAGCCATCTCTGCCTGTTTTCATGAAAACGGCAGAAACTTAGTTATCTCTGAAAGCTCTTGCTTTCTGTCACCTCGTGTTGGAATTAGCCAACGGTCCAGAAGCTGCTGGAAGAGGAGATACACACACTTCTCCTCGTGGAGTTCACATTTCCTTAGGGAAAGGGGACTAAAAGCCTATCATATACCAAAAGCAGATTTTCAAAAGATACACTCAGCTTCTCATTGTTGTAAGATTGAGGAAGTCTTGCTGTATAACCCTATGGCCTGTGTAACACATGAACACAACGGTTCCCTCTCGCCCTGAAATATTTATTCCTACATAAGGAAAAAAAAAAAAAAAAAAACTAAAAATAGAAATAGTTGCGAAAGATCAGAACCACATTTATCACTTCACGTGTTTTACAATAAACCTGAATTTTCCCACACCCGTGTTGCTAAAACTAAAGCGGGGACTCCCTCTTTGCTGTATGTAGGTGTATGTACGTATACATTGCTTCAGCAGCATATGCTGAGCGGTAACTGCGTTTCCAACCTGCCCCTCTGCTCTGCGCGCTCCCACCCGGGAAAAGCCGCGCCGTCCCACTTCCCGTGGAAGCGATCCAAGATTCATCCCGGTGCACGTTTCTCCCGGGGGGGCGGCCGGGAGGCTCACGAGGGAAATACATCGCCCTGAATTCCGCAGGGGGGACCGAGGCCTCCGGCCCTCCCCGTTTCGGCCCCAGGGGCTGATGCTGCGTTACCCCCTCCCACCCCGGGGGCAGCGCGCTCACACCCCACACCCCCCCCCAACCACACGGACGGGAGGTCTACACCTCGCTTTACGTCACACCCAGCGTGACGTCTTCCCCGCCGCTACGACGTCACAGCGCCCACGTGGCGGCGGAAGTAGAGCCGCGGGGGTGGGGTGTCTAGGGGGTGGGGTGTCTGGGGGGGGCGTGGCGCGCAGGGGGCGGCCAATGGCGGGCGGCCCCGCTCGGAGGCCCCGCCCCCTCGGCCGCCGGCGGGCGGGGGGCGTTAAAGCGGCAGCGCGGCGGGGCCGGGGCGGGCTGCGGGGCGATGGAGGCGGGTGGCACCGGCGCCGGGCGGGGGGACGGCGGCTGCTTCTTGTACTACGCATACGGCAGCAACCTGCTGCGGGAGCGGCTGCTGCTGAGCAACCCCTCGGCGGAGCTGCGCGCCGTGGCGCGGCTGCAGGTGCGTGGGTGGGGAGGGAGGGATGCCGCGGGTGGGAGGGCCTGTGGAACCGCGCTCGTTCTGGTGGGATTATGAAGCGTCGGGCCGGTGGCGCCCGGCGCTGGCGTTAGTCCCGCGTCTGCGCGTGTGTGGTTTATCTTACCGGGCTTAACCAAGCCGGTAAGGCTGCCCCGCCAAGGGCACCCCACGCGTGGAGGGTGACAAAGCGAGGAGCCTGAAGCAGCAGGCGCGGTTGGGTTAACGGGGGACGTTTCTGGCAGTTTTGAAAAAGGTTGCAAATTCCGCTCTGCCCCGCTGGTTAGGAGGGAGAAGCCCCCCCCCCTCCCCGCAGCGCTGTGCTGGGTGGGCTGTGAGCTTCCCCCCAGTGCTGCCTGACCCCTTCCTGCCCCCGCCTGGGGTCATTAAACGTTAGTATATCGGCTTTAATGTGGACTTGGCACCACGAGCTGGTGGTCGTTAGGCGGCTGAGGTATTGATCTGCACAGCTGGAAGGGCCCTTGGAGGAGCAGAGCATCGACTGATGCCCCTTAAGGGTGGCTTGAGGGTTCCCTTGGGGCAACTGGCAGGGAATGATCGGCGCTAGAGCGGGTGAAGAAGTCCCAAAAACTTGTCATGAGCAAACTCCCTACAGTCAGGTACTTGGTGGCTCTTGGGACCCTCAGTTTGGCAGCCGAGGCCTGCGCCCTGCGAAGTGTGAGGCGCTTGCAGGTACCGCTGAGGAGCTGAACGTGCCCAGAGCCCCGCACCTCGCGGGGTCGGACCTTGGAGGCTGAGGAGGAAAGCAGCAGTATTGTACGCGCTTCTCTTTGAATAAAAGAAAGCCCTCCGCTTCAGCTCACCTTCTGGGTTTCAGGTCTATTTTCAGGTCGCACACCAAGCACCTCTTGCCCCGCTGCAGGCTCAGGAGCTGCCAGCGAGGCCTTTGGCCGGCTGCTCTGCTCCCTTGCCTCAAGCTGGAAAATCACTGATGCTTGGGAGTGAGGAAGGGCACAAAGGTTAGAGCTGATTTCTGTTACTTGCTCAATGGTAGTACCAGTTGGCTCAAAAAAAAAAAAAAAAAAAATAGCCTGTAAACAGAGTACTTTGGATGCTAAACTAGAACATTAAATTCACTTCCCTCTGTTTTTATTTATTTAAAGCTGTTAATCTTCAGCTAAAAGCTGTAAGAAATGGGATATGTAACAAGCACAGAAAGGATATTACACTAGTACTTAGAAGAAGGGTCAAAGACCAAGCTCTTGACCCAAGAAAGTATCTAGTGTGTTTGTTCCCTCTTCCCTGCAGTGCCTGCTGCAGTTGCCTGTGTGGTGTAACATAGGGTTTCCTGCTCACCAGGCTGCTGATTATCACTTTGACACACAAAAAAATTCAATCAGTGTTCTGATTGGTGCTGTTGTTCTGTGTGTAAGGCTCCAGCTGCTCAACTTTTGCAGCCTTTTACTCGTATCTGTTAGGACACGCTACAGGAAGGTAATGTGTCTCAAAGTGAATATTAATATGTACATGCATATATTTCAAATCAAAAACACAGCTTAAATAGGGTGATCATAAGGAATAAGCAAGGCTGTGGGCTTATATTTTTTGTTGTTGTTTTTAATCCTTTTTGCCTTGACAGATTTTGTTGTTCTAGTTAAGCAGGTAGTCTTCGTTAAAGGTGGGTTTTGTTTTTTCTTCTCTGCTGCTAGGGAAGGATCCACAAATTGACTAACGAGTAGGAGAGGAAACAGTGTTTGGAGTCAGATGGGAAATTACACTGGCAAAATGGAAGAACCTGTTATTCTCTTTTGCCTATATAGTAATATTTGATATTAGTTGTAATCAAGATACTTGATTTCTAAAAGAATGTTTCAACTTGCAAAAACCTGAATAAGCTCACTCAAGGAAGCATATGCCTTGACTTAAAAATACCCAAGAACGTTCCAGTTGAGTGATGAGAAGGCTCAAAACACTTGAAGATACACAGATGGTATTTTATAATTTGGCAGTTCTATTAGTGCGTGAGAACAAGACCCAAAGCTCACCATCTTGTACACTTTTTTTTATTCTTACTATTTTCCTGGACCTTGTATGGTAGCATTTAAGTCTTACAACAGCACCAACAGCTGCAAAGGAATAGGCACCAGGTAGGCATGTCTTCTGAGGAATGAGAAGGCAGTAGTCAGCTCCCTCCTTCATGGCACACTTCAGCTGAGGGCCCTCCAGATTGTCTAACGGGAAGCAATCCTGTCGCTGCCAACTTGGACAAAAGTCAAGCTGACATTTCTTCAGCACTAATGTGTTTTCTGCAGAATTAGGTATGTGTGCCACTCTTGAAAAAGGGCTACCTCCACTTTCTTCTCACTGCTAGAAGTTGTTAGCTAATGTTTAGGTCAGACTGCTAAGAGGTTTGGATGTTCATCTAGGTCTCTGCAGACCAAGGCTTATATCAGTACTGGTCTCTGCCAGACCTCTCTTCCCTTTGTCCCAAGGCTGCCATTTCTCATGGGGAGGTGGAAAAGGCTGACTCAGCCTCTTGTGAGATGGGAGCTGGATCAGATCCTGCCTGTCCATTCCTTCTTCTGTGGCTCCAGCTGACTACTTGTAAACTCTCCTTTAGCTGTCCATTTCATGTCAAGAATAGCCAACAGCCCTTATATTAAGTGGAAATTGATTCTCTGCATTGCTTTCATTTGCAGGATTTTAAGCTCGAGTTTGGCCATCATCAAGGCAGGACAAGTTCTGTCTGGCATGGAGGTACAGCTACCATTGTTCAGAGCCCTGGAGACGAAGTGTGGGGAATAGTGTGGAAAATGAACGCTAGCAATTTAAGTTCACTGGATAAGTAGGTGACTTAACTTTTGCCATCTTCTACTATTTTAGAGAGCAATTGAAAAGTAGTAATTACTTTTTGGTAAAGAGCTGTGTGGAAGCTTGGGTGTTGGAATCAAGAAGGTGCTTTGGATTTTAATATGTGAATTTCACTTCACAGTACGTGTATTGACTTGTAACACGTTTGTGATTAAAATGGCTTTGTTTTCAAGCTAAAGCTACTTAGAGGTATTTTAATAAGGTGTGGACCTTGATTTGGAGCTGATATATTGGTCAGGCTCCTTTTTTTTTTTTTTTTTTTTTTTTTTTGTTTAATCCCTGTCCTCATAATGTCCTGTCTCTTAAATTACTCTCAGCTCTGTATTTGTCCTATGACACTCTTCCCATTGCTTTAGGAAGAGTTTCCTTTGAGACTGACATCAATTTCTTTCTCTCTACATGTGTAGACTCCAATTGTAGTGTAAAAGGAAGGGCTGGGGACAACACTTTGCAGAAGAGATGATGATCTTTAATACAGGCAAAGGGACCTTTTGAGGAGGTACATGTCTTCTCTTCTAAGGATTCAAACTTTTGTGAACTTGAGGTAGATCTAAGCAGGGAGCGGGGGTAGTTTTGTTTCTCCCTTTGAATGGGAGAGGCTGCCTGTGCAATTACAATGCATGTCAGAGAATCTTCTGCCTGTGTCTGATAATTAAGACAAGTTTAAGGCAACCTGAGCGAGTAGTTCCCAGGCTGAAGTATGGAGGACCACCTGGGTAAACAAATTAAGGAGTAGCATAACTTCGTGCAGGGTCTAAGGCAGGACTTAGAACTTAATCTCTAAAATTTTGGCTGGTATTGTGTGTTGATTGCAGCTTTCGGTGTGTGCCTGCACAACACGGTGCTCCTGGTACACAAGGATCATTTGTTCAGAGCAGTTCATCACTCAGTTAATTCCAGTAGAAATCTGGGTTAGTGAGGCTAAGGGAGCAGGGCATATTAAACCCAGTGAAAGCATTACATTAATACAGTTCTGCCTCTGGTATTGTTGTAGTTTTGGTTATGGCTGCACTGTGCTGTGTAGACGTGTCCTTATAACCTTGGTCATGAAACCTGAAGTTCCAACTTGTTTTTCATTGCCTACCGTGAACCTGAAATACAACAGAAACTGTTGCCCACGTTCTGTTAGCACATCATGGGAATGGGCACTGCCAGCATTCTCAAGTCCTGGTTGGGAGTGTTAGTCCCAAGCAGGAGGGCATCTAGCTGGTATGTTTCTGGTTGGGGGCTTCACGTGTCCCTGCTTTATTATCTCCTCAGTTCCCCCTCTGTTGCTTACATTAGCACTTACCTCCTGGTTGCCTTTCTGCTGGCCTTTACTGAAATCTATTTACCATGCTTTCCTAAAGGATAAACTTCAGAATTGTAAAGATGCTGTCTGGCAGCATCTGCTTTGATAGTAACACTGTGCATTTTGTATTTTAACGTCTAGAAGTTTTGTTTACATACCATAGAATTTCAGATCCCTGGCATTTGTTTGACAGGGGATAAACTTTAATGTTACCTAAGATGCTAGGGTCCTGAATGCTGTACCATCACCAAAAACTGCAGGATGGACACTAGCATTAAAGATTGATTTTTCCCAGCTGCCTCATTGATGCCATGAAGGTGAACTGGAAATGGAAGGAAACAGGAGACGTCCTTGGCTTTTGTGATGATAGTCGATAATGTTCTTTTAAGGTTTGCTCCTAACCTACTCAAAGGAGCTTGCATGTGTTCCTGCAGAATACTTTGGGATCCTTTGACTGTGCACAAGCAGATATAAGTTCTCAAACAAGTTATTTTCTGGAATTTCCATCTATTAAAAAAAAAAAATATACATATATATTCACTATTTGCCCCTCCCCTTTTCTCCCCCTCCCGATAAAGAAGTTTATGCTTTGTTATCCAGAAGCAGAGGAGGGAATGTGTCATTGATGCTGCATGCCATTAGTTGAAATACATGTAAAACAACATAATATATAGAAAACAAATATGGGAGGGGAATCTTTTGCTTAAATGGCTGAACTTTTTGGCTTCAAATGCATTTTGGTGCCATCTCATGGTCAGATTTTGTTTTTTTGTGCTCTGTACTTCACGAATCTATAAATTACAGACTAAATCATGACTTTTCCTTGTGTAGTGTAGCAATAGATGTTACTTAACTGTAACATTTTTTTCTTGTTCTCACATGCCCATGTAACTTATTTTGCAGTCTACTGGCCTTGAATCTGCAGTTAGTTTCCAGTCTCTACTTAACCTAGTTACTCATATAACATGGCCTGTGTTACATCTGTTTGTTCTGGGTTTGAGTGAGGGGTGGGGTTTTTAGTAGCAGGAGAGGGGTAGTAAGTCTTTGAAAGAAAGACGAGTTGTCAAAATGATATTTTGACGAGCAGCATTAAAATCCATGCTATCACTCATATCTGAAGTTAATTGTGCTATAAAGTCCGTCTTGTATTGCTTAAGCTTCTTGTTTACTTCTTACTATGTCCTCACACCTTTATTGTTGTCTAAATGCTAATGATTAAAGATAACAAATAGCCTTGGTTTTGAGTTTTGTTTTGTTTTCCTAAAACGGCATGATTTTGCTAATTAAAAAAAAATAACAAAATGGGTTTTGTCCTGATCTAGCTCATTGTTGCTGTACACTTTTTGTACAAATTAAAGGGTGTCTTGGATTATTCATTGGATTGTGCATTGCAAGAGTTGTGCAAGTTTCCCCTTATTCAAATGTAACACAATGGGCAAGATAACTTTGCAATTGTTTCCTTATCTGAGCAAAAGGTAATGAATGATATGTGCCTGGTTCATTAATTCTGATAATCTCAGTTGTGTTCCCCTTGTAGATTACTACACTTGCACAGTAATTAATTCACAAGGAATATTCTCTATCTCACTTTGCAAGTTAACCACTAGTTGTGTTTCTTGCAGAGCTGAAACGGTAAAAGCGAATGCTGCTGCTCCTTTAAAAACTTACATTTGGATATGAAACAAGTTTGCACAGAAAGTACTGGAATATGTTTTGCTTTATTTGTTTTTCTTTTAAGTCTGTTGATAGTGTCCTGCCTTGAATTCCGTTATAATACATGCACAGTTTGTTTGAAAGATGGATGAGTTCTTTGGTGTGAAAGGAGTGTATGTCCTTTACAGGCAAGAGGGAGTAGAAGGTGGTATTTATGTCCCAGTGGAAGTTAATGTCCACACTCAAGCAGGAAAGGTACTGACCTGTCGAAGCTACCAGATGAAGGACTATGTCTGTGGTCCCCCTTCTCCTCAGTATAAAAAGGTAGGTATTCCATCACTGTAATTTTGGAGAGAACGAACAGAAATATATAATGCAGTACTTCTGTCCTATTCTAAGCACTTTACAGTGGATGAAAGGCATGAGTAGCTAATGTAAAGAGATAACTCAGTTCATGTGCAATGTAATAGAGCAGTGATGCTTGCAGAAGATTGCTAGCTCTTAAAGGCCTACTAAATCAGTTTTATTTTTTGGCTTAGAGGCTTCATGTAAGGCACAACTATTTAATTTGTGAATTAGTTATGACACCAGGATTTTTGAAAGATGTTGTTTACATATGTGCAGTGACTCTCCATTTGACAAATTAACATACTCCACTAGAAGTACAGAGGGAAGCTTCTTTGGGGAGAATACAGCTCCTGCCTTGTCTCAAGGACACAGATTATCCCTATTGTCTTATAAAGTATCTTACTGTTATTTAATACAGGAGTCCATGTGCCTTCTTTTACCAGATGCATCATCAGTGTATCACAGGACTTCCAGCAACATTGCAGAGCACTGCAGGGTTCCCACTTGATGGCTGGTGAGACAGAAGTGTTTCAACACTGTTCTGCAACACACTGACTCTATGGAGACACATGATCCAGTTATGCAGCAGGCCTGACCTGCTTAGCTTGTGAGATCTGATGCGGGCCTAGCCTTGGGTGGCATGACTGCATGTCTGGAATTGTGCAGCTATTAGCAATTGCAGGTAGACATCCCTGTAACATGTTGACTACTTCTACCAAAAGCAAAGAAACAGGGCTTGAGCTTTTTAAATCCCAAGTGTGCTGCCTTCTCTTAACTGAGGAACTATGAATCAGCTTTCTGGAGCATAGCTAAAGCCAGCTGCTGCAGGGCTTCTGAAGGGAAAGCTTGCTTAGAAAGCCGGCTCTGCTACTTCTACAGACCTCCTCCCTGCCAGCCTGCTTCCTGCCAAGGCAGATCTTTAGGGCTTTTCAGGGAGTTAATACATAGTCTGCTGCTGTGTGGAAGCTCTCACTAGTAGTATGCTGTTAGAACAGACTTCCAATACTGGTAACTTTAGCTAAACATTCCCTCCTGTTGTCAGGGTCAGTTGTTAGTCCTCTTCTTCCCCCCTGCCCCCAGCTTTTTCTTTTTTCTTTTAAGTTAACCAGGCAGGAAGGCTAAAAATTTTGTACGGGTGACTGCATCACACAATGATCTACATCTATCTACTGTTGTGTACTTTTTGTAACAAAGTTCATCCTTTCCAGACAGCTCATCCTTGAATTTCCTAGCAGTTGAATGCATTAAAGGATATTTACAGTAGTGTCAGCTTTTAAAATCTGCATATTTATCTATTAATTTCTATATGGGAGCTTGCTGGTGTCCCTTTCAAGCCTTGGCTCCCACAGCCTCCTCTTTTCCTCTCAGTGTCACTTCTTTTCTCTTGCACCAATACTTACTTTGTATGTAGAAGGAAAACTGTGGTAACAATCTCTAAGGAATCTGTGAGTTTTCACTAAGCTAAGTATCTGTTTCTGTTACTCCTATAACCTGTCTAGGTACTCACTGTTGTACTTTGAACAGCTTAGTTTTAAAAATAACTAATAATATATGCTGCTTCTCACTTAGATGTGATACTGAAGCTGGCTAAAAGCATAAAAGGTAGTTCTCATCCTTGCTGGAAGAAATAAGGGAATAACTGAATAACAGCTTAATTGTATGGTCTTGTGCACGTTAGTAACACTTCATAATCTTCGGGCTATGCCGTGGTAGTTACAAGCCTTTTCAGAGTAATTTTGTTGACACTATTAAGGTCTTCCGTGGTCTTTCAGAAGCCGTTGGCTCTCTCTAGGTACAAATAGCATTATTTGAGATTAATTATCTTGTTACCTCAAGTGATTCTTCCTGTATGAGTAAATGTTTGGAGGGGTCTGTCCTTCCTAACACTATTACTGAAGTTGTGGGGTTTTTTTCTTTCCCTTTTGTTCATAGGTTATCTGCATGGGTGCAAAACAGAATGGCTTGCCAGCTGACTATCAGAAGAAATTAGAAGCTATTGAAACGAATAACTCTGCAGGGCCGGTGCCAATCATGGAAGAGATTGAAGCTGCTATTAAAGCAAAGAACATAAATTCTGCATAGAATACCTCTTCACTTGCTTGCCCATTTACCTTGATTTAGATACCTCTCTTCAGTGTACTGATCAGCAGTTTCTTTATTTATCAAAAAAAGATGAGTTTGCTGTGTACCTACAGTAAGTCATAATGTGCAGTCTGAAGACACTCTGACATTGGTAACTTCTTCACTTTGTATGTATAGCTTGGGAATATGATGAAGTTTATGCAGATTTAGAAATTATCTTTCTGTAATTGTCATGCAGTGCTGCATGCAAACTTGTGCTTCGTGTCCTGTTTACTGACTTTTAAAAAGACCATCTTGATGAGTATTGGTATCTGTTGCCTTCTGATGAATAAGGGCTGCAGGATCAGGCCCTTTGTCCATAGATGTTGTATAGACAATTACTAAGAATCTCAAATATTTGTTATATGCAGAGTAAACTCAAAGCTCTAAACCAAGGCTAAACTTTTTCCTCTGCTTCTTCGCTCAATGGTTTAAAGTCCAACTTACCTGAAGCTATGGAGTTCCTGTTTATATAGTTAACAAAGAAAGAAATATTTTTTTAACTATTTCAATGTTTTTAAGTGTTGGTCCAAAAGGCAACCCAGGCCTGAAGACAACATTCAGCAAAGGATCTCATTCAGAGCATAATGGCTGCCTCCTTTCTATGTCTAGTAATCGTCATAGGTGAACTGGTTAGGTATAACCAACAGATTTTAAAGAATTCATTTTGATTAGCTAGTGCCAAGGTTTTTTTAAATTACCTTTTTGACTGGCTTGTTGCTTATCTAGGCCTTGGTTTCATGTCCCATGAAATCAAGTAAGTCTCCTGTGAGTCCTAGTGCATTTTTTTCATGGTTTTGTTTGTCTGTTAAACCCCAGATGAACAGAATTGGCCTCTTGCCGCCACCCCACCCATCCCCCCCAGCTTTGATAATCTGCAAAACTGGAAGCTTTGGTAAGGTTTAGAGTACTTATCTTCATGGTACGTGGCAACCCCTGTAGATAGTTTGGGGGTGACAAGGAAAAATTGACAACCTGGAAGATGTCAGACTACTGACCTTAGGCTTATTTTATGTGCAGTGGTTTGGGGTTTTTTTCTCTTGATGTACAGAGGGGTGTAAGAGACAATTGCTGTCACTGTGTGACTGTTTAGATAAACAAATGACAAAGTAACAGACTTAGTGTCTTCTCTGCATAACTTTGTCCTGTAAACTTTTACCAGGGATGTATAGGTGCTGTCCAGATGTCATATGCCCATTTCCAGAGTTGGGCACAGTGACTACAGTAAAACATGGTACTTTTCTGTATTAGCACTGTCTAGTCTGAAACTGAGTAAATAAAACTGTGATTACCCAACCTCTCCCCTGTCTGTTCAATGAATGCTTCGAGAATATGTTTTACTTATGTAAGTGAAAGTGGGAGTGTAACTGGAACTTCCACTGGCTTGTTGTGGGTTTTTTAATGGATGGGATTTCGGCACAGGGGGCAAAACCACGCATGAACACATCAGCACCGCTTCATTTGCTTCCCCCTGACCATGTTTCTTTCGGCTTTTAAATGGGTATTTTACTCTTGCCAGAAGAAAACCTAAAACACCCTGACAGCCTCCTGGGAGGGGAACGGATCGGAGGTGTTTGATGCCTCCTGTTGAGGAAAAGGGTGGGAGCTCCTGAGTGCCGGGGGAAGCCCCCTCCACGCGGCGCGACCCCCGGCACCCCTCTCGGGGGAGGAGGCCCTCCGCCACGCCGGCGTGGGGAGGGCCGGGCGCCGTTCGTGAAGGAGAAGAGTCCCTCGGCCATGCCTGCGTGGGGAGGAGCCGCCTCCCGCCGCGGAAGAGAGCCCGCGAGTGGGGCGGAAGCTCCCACCCGGCGGGCCGGGAGTGGGGCGAAGCACCCGTGGGTCGGCCGCCGTCCCTTCGCCGCCGCGGTGAGCGCAGGGGAAGGGCCAGGGGCGGAGGGTCGCGGGGCCGCGGTCGGGGGGGGGGGAGGACACGGCCGCCATGTCGTGAGGGGTGGGCGGTGCGGAGGGCCGGGGGGCGCGGGAAGAAGGCGGGCGTTGGGCAGCAGCTCCGCGGCGGGCGGCTGGGAGAGGGCTGGAGGGTGTAAATCAAAGTTTCTGCTCGTTGTAAACCAAAGTTTCTCCGTCACCGCGTGAGAGGCTGCGAATGGGGGGGGGGGGGGAGGGCTGCGCCCCGGCGTGGCTCCCGCCGGCGCTTGCCCCTTGGTGAGCTTCTCGCGCTCCGGAATTGAAAATTTTGGGTCTTTTCGCGTTTCTTAAGCAGGGGGTCCTTCCTCCTCCCGCCTCCGGGGAGCCAGGCGGTGTTGGGCTGAGAGGGAGGAGCGGGGCCGGGCGCCGGCAGCGCCTCGGCGAGGGGAAACGGCGCCTTCGTGCAAAAATCCAGCAGCAGCGCTGGGAGGAATAGGTCCTGTTACCGGTGCGGGCCGGTGATGTCGCTTTCCTGAAGGCCGGGGGTGGCGAGGCCCTGGAGGGCGGAGGAGGTGGGCGGGAGCGCGTACCTGCCGTGGGGCCCGCCTCGCTTTTCCCGTGAGCGATGGATAAAAGAGGGGGGAAAAAAAAAAAACAAAAACAAAAAACCCAAAAAACAGTCGTTTCGGCCTTGACGCTTTTGCTCACTTAACGCGAAAGAAGCTGAAGGGGAGGCGGGAGGGTGGGCTTCCTCCACGCCGGTTTCTCTGCCGGCACCAGCAGTTAACTGGTCCTTAGGCAGCCCCCCCCCCCCCCCCCCCCCGGGGACCCCGATTTGCTGGATCGGTGGATGGGCAGGTGGAGTGGCTGCAGCTAATTAGGTTTGCTGTTAATGACCGGAGCAAAGCTTGGGAGATAGCCCGAGGAGAGCTGTGAAGATGCGATTCCATCAATGGGAAACTTTAATTGTAGAATTCGCTGCAGGCTGAATGTGAAAATATGTAAGTAATGATAGGAAAGCAGTTCCATTTTTTTAGATATAACAGTAAATTGTTCCTCCATCTCTTAAAAAAAAAAATCCCCAAGATTTCTCTGATTAAAGAAAATGTCTTTGTTTTTTAGCAGTGGTTCCTTCTAATTTATTGAACTTTTCCCACCAGAAAGGAGTTATCAGGAAGCCACATGTAAAATATTTTTGACAGGAGCTTGTTAATTCATCCAAACGCTGTATATAAAGTTCTGTTTCTTTAAAAGTAATTTGCTAGGAAATGTAGCAGCAAAACCTGTGAGGGATATGAATATTGCTATAAAGGCCTGTGCCTTTTAAACAAAAACTGTCAGTTTACCAGGTGGAGACAGAAATAATTTCTGTGTTCTTTTATATCTGTTGCTCGTCAAACAACTAGAGATGGCTACAAAAGCTTATGGTACAGTCAAAGAGGAGAGGGGAGGGGGGAAAAAAATCACTGAAAGATGCTGATTTCAGTGACCCCGGAGCAATGCAAGAATCACATGAGTTGTAATGGATTTACACTACTGTGATGTTAACAGGGCATTTATTGACATACATAGCATTGATAATGATAGTTGCACAGAGATTGTAAACCAGGGAATGAGCGTTTTAACTTGTATATACAGAATATCAATTTAGATCAGTACAGGGACTCTCTATAGTACCATTTATGCTATAAAAATAAAAGGCTATTTTTTAGTATCTCTGGGAGATACATTGCATCTCTTCTCATCAAAACATGCAGACTTTTTGTATATGTGCCCATCTACTTCCAATCTCTACACGTTTTTGACTATTGAACAATGTAAAACAGTTGAAGTTCTTTTAAAAGTGAAAGCTGCTGTGTGGAAATAGATTCTTACTCATTTGATATAGTCAAAGACTGGCTGCAGTGACACACATGAAACAAGATGTGGAAAATCAGTCTCTTTTCTGTCTCTCCTGGTGATAGCAAAAAGTTGAGTTTAGACTGGCCTGACTGACATTATGTCACCATCATTAATGAAAAAGCATGTCAAAATCTCCAGCTCTCCTCTTGCTGTAAATGACTCTGCAGTGGGGTGGCTGGCACGATAAGTGCTTTTCTCAGGAAACAAATCTGACTTGAGACACAAAGGGCACAGATTTTCATGTGAAATGGAGCACTATTTTCATACAGCCGCCCCCTGAAGATCCTCAGCGCCTTTATCTACAGCATTTACATTTGGTAAGACCTTATGATAAACCAGTATATTTTTCACTGCCAGAGGACTTGCAGCACTGGAAGCTGAACAGGCATAGCAGTTTCATTAGAAGAAAAGCAAGATCTTAGTGAAAAGAGGGTGTGAGAAGGGCGGGGACAGGAAAGATACTAATGTATCTATGCTTGCACAATGCTGAGAATAGAGGGAAGTCAGAAGAACCACTAAATAAAAGTGCCAGTGCCTTCATGCAGAGGCCATAAGCACCACTGCAGTTTATTGACACAGATTATACAAAACCTTGCTGTAAACACTGATACTTTTACCGTACCTCTTACTATGACAAATTTCATTTCCCTTTTTCATTTCCCTCCTTATCACTGGACTGATCCCCATCTTGCTTCCTCTTTGTTATTCTCAGTTATGCAGGCTTATGATATGCACCTCTGACCAGACTTGCTGTTGCTTCTCAGATCCCTTCAGTCCCTGTTGACACTTCATTTGGCCAAGGCCTGTCTTCTCTCTCTTCTTTGCCTTTAGGACTGATGGGTGAGTATTCTGTTCTCAGTTTCTTTTTAATTCCTGGTAGTCTGTATTCGGTCTTCTTCACTTGACTGAAGCTGCTGTACCTCAAAATGGCTAACTGAATTTATTCTCCTGACACCATTGGCAGCTTCTAGAATAAATCACTATTTTTATTTTTCCTCTCAGGAACAAGAAGCCAATTCTGTTCTGACATAGGAAGCTTTTCCCCATAAGCATCTCCCTCATCTCCCCATGCTGTAGACTCCTGCTCCGCCCGGTATCTCATCTCTCTCTATTCCTATTTAGGTGTTCTACTGTTTCAGCCACTGCATCAAACTTGAAAAATCCTTTCCTTTTTCCCCAGATACATACCTTTCTGTGTATAAACCTCAATGCTAATGTTCATTTCTCTAAATAGATGTGTTCACAAACTGTTGCTGTTAGAACAGGTGATCTCTCTTTATTGTAGCTTAGTGATGTTTTACAAAGGATTGTTCAGTGTCTCAAGGTGGCTTTCAGGAAAATGATTTTATTCATTAGCCCTTTCAGAAATGGAACAGTTCCAGAAATGAGGGAGTAGTTTTCAACAGTGGATGGTTTTAGACCTTGGTCAATGCACTGAGGTGCCTCACATTAATGCATGTCTCAGTCTTTTCTACAGCATCCCTAAGACTGATGCCACATCAGCCACAAGAATTGCCCTGGAATTGAATCCAGCATCTGGAGTGCCCAAGATAAGGCAAAGAACATGATATGCACTCAAGCAAGGAAGTGCTTTCAACGCATATTTATAAGCTGCATAAGCATTTACCTTTAAGTGTACCAGATGTGTAACCTAGCACTGGAAAACTAACAGATCCTTTAACAAGAGACTTAGTACTTTGTAACCTTGAGATCCCTCGCTGAAAAGACTCATGTTAAAGCACTGTGGAAGCTGGGACTCTTTCCAGAAAGAGGGGTGTTTGATCCACATAAATGGGAGACCTCACAATGTCAACACATTGACCTCGTGTTTAAAAAATAACCTAACAAACGAACATAAAACCTGCCTTAGGAAAACAGAATCGTCTGTCAGAATCTTACGGGCACTGCGTTTCTCTAAGAGAACAAGCACGTTTCTCATGCTGATCAGGACTTTTAGGTGCTGTTTCACCTAGAACTACTACAGCAAAAAAAATGTGTTTACTTTAGTATGAGTAGGACCTGAAGTTTCTTCAAAATAGCTGATACTCTTTGCTATGAACATGCACATACCTGCCTTGCTCTTAACTACATGTGGCAGGAAGTCTTTCTGTTCCTGCACTGTTTAAGGTGTTCAGCCGCTTGTCTGATGTGGCATTTTCTTAGTCTATGGATGGTGGAAATTCCCATTATTTTCTTATTAAGAGAGACTGATGAAAATTACTGTTTTCTCCAGTACTAGGTGGTGTGGGTTTTGCCTTAAAGTTATTATTGCCACTGAAAATATCACTGAGTACATCATCATGCACAGAATTCATATTGCCAGCTCTGACTTCCCTGCTCGGCATTTTTGCTCTTTCTCCTTTTCTCCCCTGATGCTTAGCCTCACTTTATATTCTTTTTTGATCGCTCTCTTGTTTCTCCACTTTCTTGCATATCACCCTGTGTGAGAGGGAATGTGCTGTCACCTGCAGCATGCACACCCCTTCCAGTAACAGCCAGGTTCTGTACTGACGTGGATTTTGTCAGATGCAGGGCGGGCATCCTTGAGACCTTCTGATCTTCCCATGTTTTCCATGTTCTTGTCCTTTTGCTGTATTTCTCTTTTCTTTCCTTATCCTCTTTGTAGATGGATCTGAAAGAGTGAATAAAATACTTCTATTTGTTTTGTAGACATGACAGCACTTTGGTTCATTATTATGGTTTCCTGGGTGTTTCTCTTGGTTCTTCTCACAAAGTAGGAAAAAAGAAAATATATTAGGACAACGTGGTCCTAGAATAACCAAAGCAAGCAGGGAATGTTTGGTAGATGCAGTATTTTGAAAGAAAAAGATTAGTATTTCTATTGAATGTGTTTTAAGGTGACTCTATCTCTTTAACTAAAAGCTTACAAAAGCTTTAGAATCAATGATGTTTTCAACATTGTTTGGTCTTCATGATAGAGTTCATTTATGGAATGAGCTTTCTTCAACAAAGAGATGTGCCAGTGTGGCTTCTAGGAAGCTGAGTGACTCAGAAATCAGCCACTTCATCTGGTGGGTCATGTGAATGGTGTAATGAAAGGTTGATTTGTCTGAGTAGATGCAGTCACTTACTCATGTGGTAAGAAAGTCGGATCACTTGGTTACATTCCCTTTGGTTGAAAGAGTTTTGCAGTTTTGGAGCTGGCTGTGATCCAAAGCAGTTTGTGCTGGGGATTTGCCTGGTTCTGGCCTTGGGAGGGCTCAACTCTTAATGCAGTTATCCACATCTGTGCAGGTCAGCAACTGTAAGTTAGAACCTGCTGGTCTCCTGAAATCAGAGGAGCTAAGCTGGTTTGCCCTGGGGTTTTAAGTGTAGATAGGTAGTGTCACTAAAATGAAGTAGTATAAACTGTGTCTTTCTCCAGCGTCAAGTGGGAGAAGCTGTACTGATGCAGACTGCAGCTTCTGGTATGGAAAACCCGTAGAAATGAGTTTGTTCCAGTAGCAGGTCACCTAGAAGAATCTGTGAGCTGGCAGGGCTCAGTTATAGCTTGTCAGAGGAGTGCTGGGGAAGCATTTGGAAAGTCTGCCGGCACTGTAAACATCTTGGGAAATTGTGAGAATTTTGTAGCAGCAGAGTGGCACCTTTACATAGCTGTTGAAGAAGGGCTTTGTGTTTTGTTTTTATTAATATGACTGTAATCAGAATTTAAGAGCATTTTTCCATATATCCCTTGACCCACTGAAGCAACAGTGCATTTTACCTGTGACTGGACGGTGTCAGTAATTCATGTTGATCATTAAAATTCTCATTGTGTCGAGGTGAGTCAGATGTGATCTTGCAAAAAAATCTGCTTTTTGCATGGAAAATCATATGTGCAAATTTCATACCTAAATAGTACGTAAGTGAACCTATAGTTGAATTGTAATTACAATATAACTTCATGCCTACTATATGGTATATTAACTGCAATTCAGAAAAAAAATTTTAGTAATACAATAGAGAGCAGTCAGATCCCGATTCCTACTGCTTTATGCCTTGTTAAAAAAAAAAAAAAAAAAAAAAAGGGAATAAAAGGGCATCTAAAAAGAGCTCTCCAGAGCTGGTATAGAGAACGAGGGCATACACAGCATATGTATTTGTAGACAAGGAGAAAGCAGTGATGCTAAAGAGTACAGTTTCTACACAACATCTCCACAGCAGTGAGAGGGTTTCCTGAGCCCATAGCTGTCTGAGTTAATGATCTCTTTGTGTCTCTAGGTGTACCTGCAGGGGCTGAGGTGAGGCATTCAAGCCTAAGTGTTTGCACAGGCTTTAAATTGATATCTTCATTACAAGCTGTACTGTGTGCAGTCTTTTCCCTTTATGAATATGGAGGTGGGTTGGATGCCTAATCCAGTAATGAATATGAATTGTGGTGCCATCTTCCAGGCCTAGTTCATCTTGTGGGGAAAGAGCGTGAATTCAGTTATTCTGTCCAATTCCAGCTCAAAGTGAGGTCCAGATTTTTTTGTGTGAATCACTGGAGATGGGATCTTGTATATTTATGGTCACTTATTTCAGTCCTTTCTGTAACATTGTTACAGTTTTTCAGAATCTGAAAAACTGTATTTTTAACTTTTATGGTTACTCACCCAAATTCAGTAAGATTAATCAAATTAAACCAATGCAGTGATGTTTTCCCTGTTTTACACACTGTCTGAACCAATAGCTTTAAGAGGTGTGAAGCACTCTGTGCACCTAGGTGGTATATTAGCTCTGAAATCTACAGCAGCATTTTCACTGTTAGCATTATTTTACTCTCGGCTTTCTTAACAGGAACATCTGATCAGTGGTTTTCCCACAGTCTCACTGCTGCCTCTCAAGCCTGGTGCCCTGTAGCTAAACACTTTTTCCTAGTTTAGCTAAAATTGTCTCAGAGTTCACAAGGCCTCGCTTACAGGGACAGTTATCATATTGGCAACACTTTATAAAGGGTCTTCTGTAGTAACAAAGAAAAAGCAAAGTGAATTGCTACTGTAAATTATTTTTTCCTACAAAATTAATTGCCATAAAATATAACTTTATTCTGTTTATTTCCTTGTCCAGATATGTTTGGACAGATGCCCTGCTTTGTCTACTGAAACAATAAAAGCTAATAAAAAATACTTAATTATGCACTAAGAACAGGCAGCTAATAAAGCAGATGCCATTGTTGTTTGAGGCATGCTACGGTAAAGTACTGGTATAGAAGAGAGACAGCCTGCTGGAGATGTTTTATTTTTCCAAAACCTGAACAAATAAATGGAGGTACCTGAGGAAGAAACTTTTTAATAAAGTTGGCCATGGTGTGATGCAGAGGTTGGAAGTATTCTTTGATGGCTAATTGAAAGATGGATCTGCATAGGATAAGGTTTAAACTGAGGTTCTCTACAATTACTTTTTACAGGCTCAGTAGCGTGAAGGACAGATTGCCCATTTCCCTGAAGTTAACTCCAAGCTGACTTCTCACTGCAAATGGACAGTTTCTCAAAGATGAGGCTAGGTGGAGCAGCTCCATGCTATCTCAACTATGGAAGGCCAACTTTGTGCTAACTTGGGGACTTCTGTGGAAAAACCTCCAGGAGCAAGTCTTCCATCCTTCATTGCTTTGCTGAAGGTATACCGAGAACTTCTGGTCAGTAGAATCCGAAACACGCAGTGTTTGATTGACAACTTGATTAAGAATGATTACTTCTCCACTGAAGATGCAGAGATTGTTGCCCAGTTTCCAACTCAAGCAGATAAGGTATTCTTTTTATTTCACTAGCCACTGTAAGCTTTTTGTTACTTTCAATTTACCACCGAGTTTTATGGGCTTTTCTGGCAATTTTACGTCTAGTGTCTTTCTAATTTTAGTTATTTTAGAGTTTCCTCACCCTGTTCCTTCTGGACAAGTATTTCCAGCACATCTCTTTCCAGCATGTCTGGCACTTCTTGTAATGCCCGTTGGCAGTTGTAGGAACCAGCAGGGTGATAATTGCTGCTCTGTTACCACAGCTGCAGCTTTGTCCTCTGATAAGCAGGTGACCACAGTGGCTGTTAGAGTGCAGCTTGCTACATGTGAGCCTTCGTTATTGTGCAGAGTATTGCAAGGAAAATCTACTTCAGGATGCTGTGGGACAGATAATCCTGCTTTAGAGGAGGAGAGACAGAAATTAAATATTTTAAAAGTTAATGATTGTGAGTTGTCCATATGCACACCTTCCCTCCTCTTTAAAAACCTATGTACATTGCAAATGTTTGTATGGAAAGTTGATATATCCTGGGACTTTTGGGGTTTTGATTTATCTTTGGACATCGTTAGCAAAAATTATTTCCTAGATAGGAGAAGATTATCACATGTACACAGTTGCTTTTTGCATCATGACTTAAGACAAACTCCACATTTGTTTCCCTGACCAACGAGTCATGCAGCTTCAGAATAGTGTCACAGTTAGAGACAGGCAAACCATACAAAATTCAGACTTCACTAACAGTGCAGATTTTCATAAAATAATCATTCTTGCTGGCAAGTTGAAATGGTAACACAGTGCTTACTCTGTGTATAGGGTCAAAGCTGAATAAATGCACACTGTATGATCATCCCCATTTCTCATTGTTCAGCATAATACACATGACTCTTGTAATAAAGCTGAGGGGGAGGCCATGCCTCTGGAGTCCAGGCAGAGACAGAGAGCAGGCCACAGCAGTGTAAGTGAAATGGACTCTGTAAGACCTTCTCTGGAAGGCACAAAACTGCTTTTTAGAGCATACAAATTGCCAAAAAATACCATGGTTTTGCTGTGCTGTATGTACCTAACCGTGATATAAGCTCACAAGGGACCACAGTCTCCTAAAACTGAATTCCTCATTCATTTCTAGCAAGAGGATCCAGACATTCAAAATGGACCCCCAGATAATTGATCGGTCTCGCAGAGGATTTTGTTCTAGGGTTGCCCTGTACTGGTTGCACAGAGATCAGACTCTGCCTTGCCTTCAGAGGTAGCTCTTAGTCTTGAACTGCTCCAGCCACTGCCTGGTAGCCGTTAGTTTTAGTAACAGTTGCAGAGCCCATTGTACAGAGAGAGCCTGCAGAATTCCGTTCCTGTGTGAAAAGGGAGAGTTGTAGGTTTATGGATCTGCATTAAGAATCCAGTGAGAGAGTCTGCCTACCCTGCTCTCTGGATCTGGCTGGATCCTAGAGTAAATCTAAATGTGACTGGAGTATTTACAATCCCGAGGGCGAATTTATGGCACTGAGAAACCACCCCTTTTTTATTTTAACTAGCATGGGATTTAAAATACACGATCTGGCTGGGCTGAGAAAGTCCTTTGGGTTCTCTCTTGAGGAGCAGTATTTATCCATTTTGTTTCTGGTTAGCATATGATTTAGCTACAAGTTCAGACCTTAACTTGCAAAGCCAACTCTCTTGCAACATCCAAATACAAACAGCAAGTGAGTTTGTGATGTTTCAGACTCAGAGGCCGATTCTGAATTCAAGTTTTTGAAGCACCAGTTTTGGTTTTAGTCCCCTGTTCCAGTCCAAAAAGGATCCTAAAGCAGTCTACAAGTATAATTGTGGTAAAATGCTATGTATCAGTGCTCTTTCATGTGGTATTTCTTCAGGTTCGCAAAATGCTAGACTTGGTTCAAAGCAAGGGAGAAGAAGTTTCAGAATATTTCATCCGTGTCCTGCAGAAAGTCACTGATGCTTACTATGAACTTCAACCTTGGCTGGATGAAATAGGTTATGAGCCTTCAGACAATATTTGTAGTAAACCTGTGGTAAATACAGATCCAGGTAAGGCCATGCATCTATATCCCTTCCCTTAGAACCACTCTGCTATGTACGAAGCTCTAACCAGCTGATGTGAGAATAGGAAAGTCTAGTCAGGCACAGCCAGGAAAAATAATTGTGCTTATGCTGTGCTTGCTAGTAGTGGTAGCCAAGTAATTAAAAGGCACACTGTGTAACAAAACAGTCGTGTTGATATATTACATCCCATTTTGCTAAAGTCAAGCTCTTTCTGCGTTTGTTTGTGGAGATGTAGCATAATGGCATAACCATCTTGTGCCAGCTGTAGTATTTTCAAGGCCTCTACTACAATTTCTTAGCAACACTCTGATGTTTTGGCAATGGAATTGCCAGTATTTCATTATGAGGACAGTCAAGCAATGAGGCAGGTTGCCCAGAGAGGCTGTGCAGCCTCCATACTTGGGGGTTTTCAAGATCCAACTAGTAACCTCATCTGCTCTCATAAATGACCCTGTTCTGAGCAGGAGGTAGGAGTAGAGACCTTCTGAAGTCCCTCCCAACCTGAATTATTCCGTGATCCTAGACAATGAGTTATACCAAAAGCCAAAAGTATTGCAGAAATAAAAGTTTTCCTCTTGAGAGGTTTTTACATACTATAGAAATAGAAGAATTACTTTGCCCCCATCTGAAGTGAAGTTTTTGTTGCTATAAAAACAAGCCAATGTTGCACAATAACTGAGACTCTCTTTTTTGTCATCTGGAAAAGAATCTTTCGAGGTGCCTGGCACCTGGTTTTTACAACACTTGCCTTCTATTTACAGTAATAAAAATTAGCAAACAAATTAGGAAAGAATAACCACTTACCTGATAGAAATCGCAGGTAGATTATAAATGTAGTGAAAGGGCAGATGCCAAAACTAATCAGTGACCAATAACCCCAACAAGCCTTTGCAGAGAGTAAAACAGCCTTTAACAAAGGGTCAGGGTCTTGGCTTCGAGTCTCAGCTGAAAGATAGCAGCCCCTTAAACCAATGCAGCATCAGTATTGGCTTTCAGGAAATGGTGGCACACATGTCACCTTTCATTAGCACCTGAATTTCCCAAGAGGGTGATGATGGCAGCACAAATAGAAGTAATCTGCCAAAGAACCAATTTTACGTTAGAATTACTTATTACCCCCTCTCAGTTCCCAAAGAGGTGGGTCATTGTGTACATAGGCTTTTAATAATAGTCGTTTTAATAATAGTCCACTGTCTTTTTAGTTAGCAGGTATTGCCAGAAACTCAGACATGAACTGGGACGGGACTCCAAGTTTGTTATGTCATATGCTCAGAGGGAAGAGATGCTGCTTGAAGAAATCTACTCTAACAGTACTATGCAGCTGGTCAGTTTTACCAATGAGAGTCTAGGCGAAGTATGTCAATTAGAAGCCCTTTTTGATGATGCAGTTGGGCTAATTAATGAAGATGGAGAAACTATTTATGTCTTTGGTGATGCAGGAATTGGAAAATCCATCTTGTTGCAAAAGATACAAAGCCTTTGGGCCAGAAAAGAACTGGACGTAGGAGCCAAATTCTTCTTCCGTTTCCGATGTAGGATGTTTAGTTGCTTTAAGGAAGATGAAGCCATATGTTTGAAAGACCTACTCTTCAAATATAATTGCTACCCAGACCAGGACCCCACAGAGGTGTTCCATTACATCTTGCAATTCCCTCATACAGTTCTGTTCACATTTGATGGCTTTGATGAGATCTATTCCAACTTTGATCTCAGTAGTGTGCCCGAGATGTGTTCACCCAATGAACCCATCCACCCCCTGGTGCTGCTGGTAAGTCTTCTCAGAGGAAAGCTTCTTAAGGGATCCAAGAAAATTCTTACAGCGAGGACAGGAACTGAGATCCAAAGAAACATCATTAGAAAGAAAGTGTTGCTCCGTGGTTTCTCCAGCAGTAACCTGAAGGAATACACTGCTATGTTTTTCAAAGATGAGGGGCAACGAACACTGGTTTTGAACCAGTTGGAAGCTAACCCCAATCTCTGCAGTTTGTGTTCGGTGCCTTTATTTTGTTGGATTATCTTTAAATGCTATGAACACTTCCATTCCATGTTTGACAGTCATGAGCTTCCAAACTGTTCTGTTACATTGACAGATGTATTTTTGCTCATGATTGAAGTCCATCTGAACCGATCTCTGAAAACAAGTTTGCTGAAGAACAACACCAGGAGCCAAGCAGAGATGTTCAAATCAAGAAAGGAAACTCTTCTAGCTTTGGGTAAAATGGCATACAAAGGGATGGAGAACTCTTTCTTTATCTTTGAGCAGGACGAAGTCTCATCAGTGAACATCTCTGAAGGAGATTTGCAATTGGGCTTTCTCAGGACAGTTAAAAGTTACAGTGGCTGTGACAGTCAGACCACTTATGAGTTCTTGCACTTAACCCTTCAGTCTTTTTTCACAGCTTTGTTCCTGGTTATTGAAGAGAAAGTGGGTGCCAAGGAGTTACTTCAGTTTTTCAATGAATGTTCTTCCACTGAGACTGCCCAGACTACTTGCTTTCATATTCCTTGGTTGAGGAAACAGCTAGCACGGGAGGATCCTTTCCGAAATAATGAACACTTCCATTTTACCAACATGTTTCTTTGTGGCCTGCTTTCTAGATCGAAGCAGAAGCTCTTCAGGCATTTAGTGTTGCCTGCAGTCATTAAGAGGAAGAGAAAGACGCTCATCACATACCTTGGGGAGAGCATGAAATCCCACTTGAAAGGCATCACTCGTTCCAGGCTTCCAAACTACAATCAGGTCCAGGTCCAGCCCAATTTTGTTTGGATGCTGAGGTGCCTTTATGAGACTCAGAGTGAGAAGGTGGGGAAGCTGGCTGCCAAACGCATGCGTGCCAATTACATCAAGCTCACATACTGCAATGCCTGCTCAGCTGACTGCAGCGCTATTTCCTTTGTTATGCATCACTTTCAAAAGCGCCTGGCTCTAGATTTGGACAACAACAACATCAATGACTATGGAGTAAAACAGCTGCTACCTTGTTTCAGCAAGCTGGCAGTGATCAGGTAGGAGTCTATGCAAGCAGGTCCTTGCTTATCCTTGGTTTATTCCACAAACTGCTGGGCTGGAGGAATTGACCTTGAAAGTGGGGAAAGATGAGGATTCTTACTGCTGCTGGAAATTAAAGTTTCAGATCTTCTGCAATCTTTGTTCAGCCAGTCACAGGACCAGGGACAAGCTGTGAATTTGGAAACCCAAATGAAAAGGGTGATAAGAAGTCCTTAGAAGCCAGGACTGTTTAAACCTGTAGGTTTAGTTAGCTCCCTCTCAAATTGCTTTGTCTCAAAAGAGGATTTTTATGGAAGAAAGTGCTTACAGGAAAAGAAAGGAAAGAAGTGCTTCCTCTGTTATCTGAAGATTGCCTGAGCCTATCTCTGCCTTTTGTCATGTGGGATAAGAGAGGATCTACTACTCACAAAAACCCTTGATCAGAAGCTCTGAATTTCTTGCTTTTACATCCTGCTGAGATGTCTGGCTTTCACAGAACAAAAGCTAACATGTAGTACTCCATGAAGGGACTAAGTTGAAGTCTTTAGATGTGGTGTTTCCCTGAGGTGATGTGGAGGGAGGATATGGCTTGGAATGATCAGGGAGAACTAACCCCACCTCTAACATCACAGGCCAGGTTGTTCTACCTCCAGTCCCTTGAGGTTGTGTCATGTAGGTATACCTTATTTGTCCAAACATTTAAGTGCAGAAAACCAGGAACTTCAGATATATACTTTTTAAAATCTTCTTCAGCCTTATGAGAATCTTTTTTTATAAATGGATTTATTCCTCGGGGTTGGCTATGCTCTGGCATGTTTTCCTCTAGGACTAAATCAAAGCAAGTGACACTTGTTTTTTTCCAGTTAGTTGCAAATCATTTGACCTCCCAAGAGAAAGCAGTACAGAAACTTGCGGGGGAAATGCATAAGTATGTAAGACAAAATAAATAAGAAAAGGACAGACTTTCATTTTCTGTCCCTATCATATGATCATGTCATACACAGTACAATCTCAACACCAACCCCAGCACCAAACCAGTCTGTTAAGTTGCTTTTTTTGTCTTTATGGCTTTTCTGATGTTAGGACTTTCATTTCTAATGACCAATTTTTACAGGTCAGTAAATACTGTTTCTAACAACTTAACCATCCTTTTTAAAGAAGCGGACTGTTCTGATCTGTAGAAATTGGCTCTGATATCTCCTGTGTGCTAGTGCACTCCAAAGTGACCAGGTTATTGCCTAGAAAGAGCCAGGGAGGCTGTTGTTGATAAGGGACTTTCAGCAGTGAATGTTCAGCTTCTGAGTTTGTGTAGAAACTAAAGGTGGTCAAAATGTTTTCACAGAGACAGCTTTACCTAGAGAATGTGATTCATCAGAATTGGGATGTTTCACAGGAACCTGTCCTTTTGGGCAAGGTGAAAAAGCTCAAGAAGTTTTTTTTTTTTTTTAAAAAAAACCAAAACAAAACGTGAAAAGAAGTATTTTTATTCTGTGAGTGACTGACATTGATTAGTTTCATATCTAGTTGGGACAATAAAATTATAAACATCTAGCACGCCCATGGGACTGCAGTTCTGTTTCCTGGCCAGGGCTTTTCACAACCTTTATTCAGTGAAGCCTGAATGTCTTGTGACTTCAAGATGCATGTAACTAGGTACGCAGAGAGAAGGTTGCAAGAGGTTTGGAAAGCTTGCTTTTGCTAGGGTGTCAAGCAGAATTTCTTCCTGCAATTACAGTAAGTGCAGGAGGAGAATGAGGTGTTCATCTCTGGTTTCTGACTTAGAACATTTTATTGTTTTCGATTCAATGGGGAAAGATTCCAGAGCATTATCTTGGAGATTTGGGGCTTTTTGTTTTCTGTTGGTTTTGAAGTGAGCCGTATGAAACTGAGCTCACATTTCTCTTAACAGCTTTTAATATGGGGCATAAGGACCTGTTAAAATATCGGAGGAAAAAGGAATAGATCTCCAGTCATTTGTTAATTCATGGGTGATGAACACTTGTAATCTGTATTGATTCAAACTTTCTTTTCGTTGCCTTCATTTTAGGCTCAGTGTAAATCAGGTCACAGATCACGGAGTGAGGATCTTGTATGAAGAGCTCTCAAAGTACCAAATTGTGACTTTCTTGGGGTATGTACCAACTGGGAGCAAAACACTAGATATTGATACTAGAAAATAAAACTGCAGTGCTGACAGTACTGATGCAGCAAAGGTGGGGTGGAAACCACAGTTACCTTCTCATAAGCAAAGCAGCATTTTGTGTCAGAAATGATTCAGCTGCCATCCTGTAACAGTTCGCTGGGAAAAGGACCACAGATTCCTCTCCCATTGCACTGCCTCACAGGGTGGCCTCCGCTGACATCAAGCCCTTTCTGTAACACACTGCAGACCACTGTAGGGTCACTAAACTGTGCGGGCATGCTAGTTTTATACCTACAGCCTCTGCTAGCTGTAGAGGGGAGAGAGAGCGCGCGAGCGAGAGTGTGTGCTTTACAGGTAGAGCCTCCTGCTTTCTCTGCTGTAAACTGACTTATTTCAACTATGCAAAGCAGTTACAGCTTGGGAGAGACCAGTATCAGAAACATAAAGTTTCAAGTGTCATGTTCATTGTACCAATTTGTTTAAGACCTTAATTAGTTCTTAATCAAGTTGAAACTGGAAGGCATGTTAGCTCTGACTTACTGCTCTTGGTTAAGTAGCTACATAAAAATGACTTATTGAGAAGTGAACATGAATACCAAGAACTGCCTCCTTCCTCATTACATTAGTGCCCTAGTGTAAGTACATCTGCTCAGGTATCTCATCTTCAGTAATATTTGCAAGGGGATTTTATGACTTCTTTTAAAAGGCCAAAAATACGTTCTTCTGATGTTTTCTCTTCTGACTTCTCTTCTGGCAATATTATTTCTCTACTAACACAGGAATAAAGGGAAGCTTTGTTTGCTTGGGGAGACCATTTATTAAAAAGAATTATATAAATATTTTCCCATGTTTACAGTCTGGTCTCCTTGTATTTTATGTCTAGCCCTTCACATTATGAATTGTATATCAAAATAGAAATACAAGCACATGTGAATGTGTACAAAGCCATACAAAAAAGGTAGATACTATGTGTGCATTATAAAAGCATTCAGGTTGTAAATACTAAAGTAACAGCAGGAATAAACTATTTTTACCAATGTGATTTTTCTTTAAGCTTATACAACAATCAAATCACTGACGTTGGAGCCAAATATGTTGCAAAACTAATTGAAGAGTGTTCAAGCCTTGAATATGTCAAGTATGTTGGAATTTTTTTTTTCCTTTCTGCAGTACCCTAATTAAGGTAAAGCAGCTTGAAACAGGGGAGAGAGTGGAAAAAGGGAAAAAAAATTATCTTTCAAATAAACTATAACCCAGGTTGCAGTTGTATATTCTTGTACAGTAGTCTAGCAGTGAATAGCATCAGGGGAAACTCTTGAATCTCTAGTCTTTACTGGAATACAGTAGTCAGCAAAAGGAGAGCATAAGGCCTGGACCTGTTCTTTACCTAAATCCAGTCTGAGCACCTGAGGGAGGCTTAAGTGGTGCATGAACCTTGCTGCCCTTTGCAATAGGCAAATTCAATTCGATTTAGTACCAAGCTTCTTTATATCTCATCTTTTATGGGCCATTGGAGTCAGGCTGTGCTGATATACCTCAGCTGTGGAATTCCTCAAATTCACTTGGTGAGTTGTTCCCTTTAATTCCTGGAACTTCCCCAGATAAGAGTGGCTGGTCACGCACAACAGTGATTTGACATAAAGGTAGATCATTAATCAATGGTTTAATTGTAACCATAGCAGAAAATAGAGGTAACTACAGTAATGTCAGCTGTTGGTATGAACGTAGCAACCGACAGCCAGGGACTCCTTGGGTTCTAGTTCTTGTTCCACCACTAACTTGTTCCGAAACCCCCCACTAGCCACATCCTTCCCACTTGAAATATTTGCAGAGTTTTGAAACCCAAGAGCACTTTGGTTCTTTCACTGCTTTGACATGGTGCTTTGCTTGTTTAATCTAATTTTCACCAAAAAAGCCTGTTGGAAGATGATTGCTTTCAGGTTGTGTAGTAACCCTGGATACTATTTTGAGATAGAGTGCATATTCATGTGCCTGAAGTCAGTCAAAGCCAGTTTTATTTGTATGTAAATGTAGTGGGTTGAGGGGTTTTGGGGTTTGGTTTGTTCTTTACAACAGTGTATATGCAATTGAGACTTACCTCTTCCTTGAGCTCCAGCCATTTGATATCCCCACATAGGCCAAAAAAAAAGAGGTCTTCTGTAAAGTGCCAACCAGAGACACTCACTGCTGCACTGACCTATGCCACTACCTATAGCCTATGCTCAGAACAGAAAGACTTGAAATTATTCCAGTCTGTGCTTGTCAGCTGCAGTCTCCTCTGGAGCAACACAATCAAGAAATACTCTGTTCCCTGTAGCATCATGAAACATGCTGCATGTAATTCATGTGCTCTGTAGCCACAGCTGATATTATGAACTACATTAAAAACTGGGCAGAGGTCCTTGTCTTGAGGATCAGTTCCTAAAGCTCATTTTTGACACACTGAGCACCAAACCCAAGACTCTACAGTAATAATTCTGATTTGGGGGGATGGCATGCAAAATATGTAAAAGATAACATAAAATGATGTCTTTTAATCAAAGGTCAAATGCCTTCAGTACTTTTTACTCTAGGTTAATCTTTGATTACTGTAGCTAGCTTCCAGACTTAATTAGCCTTAAATACTTGTATTGTTTTCTGAGCTGGTGTTCTAGTAGCTGTACAGTTGTAAGTGATGTACCTCATCAATCCATGTGTTTTGTGCAGAATAGGAGCAAACAAAATAACTAGCGAAGGAGGGAAGTGCCTTGCCCAGGCCATCCAGAAGAGCAAGACAATGTTTGAAATTGGGTAAGTACAGCGCTAAGGAGCAGACCTCAGGGTTTGACCTTAGCAAGGCATCTATAAACCCCTTAAGATTCCTTCTTCCATTCTTACCTTCTTTCCTCCTGCTATTCTTTCCCACCCAACTGTGGCATTAGAAAAAACTGGTGCAGAAACATGGCTACGTTTTCCACTCAGAGGGAAAAGGAGGGTTGCTTTATTGTTCTTCAGTTCACACAGTGTTTGGTTTGGGTTTTGTCTTTTTTTTTATCCCTGCTCTGACAGGAGAGACAAACTAGCAAGAGGACAGTATGTAAAGATAGCCACTTTCTGTATGGCAACGCAGCTGTTCTAGAGATATTTGGTAATTTGTAAGTCTGGGTGGTTTTATGACTGTTGGCAATGCACCTGGTTATTGAATGTCATTGCTGTAATTGTCAAATCTTCTGCATCAAGTCCTGATAAAGTCGTGAGCTGGGATAATAAAAAGGAATTCCCATCATCCTTCTCTCTGGCTTGTCCCTAACCAAAGAGTCTGCTATTATTGGATAGAGGACTGAATGTACTCTAAACCTTTAGTCCCTGTCCTCTTTCTCAGGAGAGGTGCTAGACTTGAGGGGTTTTTTTTGTTTGTTTTTTCCCCTCTGGCGAATCCCAGTTTTTCTTTCCACTCCCCAGGAGAACTTTCTTCTCAAAATCTAATACTCAAATATATGGAATTAAACCTACTGTTTAGCCATTCTGAGTATCTGAATAACCCTTAAATATGGAAATCAGTTTTGAACAATCAGATTTTTGGCCTTTAATTTTGTTTTTCTACAACATTTCACAAATACAGTCAACAGCATGCACACTTCCATTGTCATATAGCTGGGTCTAATATGCTCTACTTGCTGCAGTTTCAGTGATGGATTCCTATTTTCTCCTGTGGAGGAAATAATCACTCCAAATGGATTTAGGATAGCTCAGATAGAAACATTTAAACAGATATATTCAACATTTACATAACAAACTGCACTGGGTATGAAGGACAAGGAAATTCTGGGGAACTTACTGGAAGTGGATGTGTTCAGATGCCACAAAGCTCAATTGATTTTAAAAGAGCTGCCAACTAATTACCCATCAAGCTGAGTGTGGCTCTGAGTCATCAAGCCATGATCCCTGTAAAAAAACCCCTTATACTTTAGCAGGCACGCTTTCAAGCCTCATAATATAGGGTGAATTTTCAAAGTGGTTGGTTTGCATAGAAAAGATTTGACCAGGTAATACTATTAAACATTGATCAAATCTCTGCAGCTCTTACCATGTTACCTTCTCTTAACCCTTTGTGTTACCAAGGGTCGTTTTGCCATTGGAAATACTATTGCTTACAAATGGGTGGAAGAGCTCAAGGTCATACTGTCCCTGTGAGATTTTGATCTTTCTTTTGGCATCTGGCAAGAGGGGAGATACCACTTGGGTATAATGCTGAAGGAACTGTAGCTGTTCTGCCAGACTATTCTGAAGGAGAGGGAGAGATTATAGAGCAGTTCACTTCAAAAAGTCACCCATTTGGCTGTAGGTCGCCGTGCGTGCGGGGAGTCTTTCCCAAGACCTGTACTTTGCCCTGTGTAAAGGACAGCCTGTGCCTAACAGGTAACAGATAAACCTCATCAGGGCATGGGGAGGAAATGCTGAGCTGGGAAATGATAGGATTTAGGACTTGGCCTATTTCTCACCACAGCTCACAGGACAGGACAACAAGACTTTTTTACCCCATAAGGGTACAGGGCTGCAGAGGGTTTGCCCAGCACAGCAAGGTGATCCCAAAAGCACTCCTGCAGCAGGCTGTCTCCTAGAGCTGCTTCTGTGCTGTGGCCTTGGCGTGCTGGGGAGTCAGCACGGCTGGTGGTGTGGGGTGCAGGGAGTGGAACAGGCCTGGCTCAGCGGGGAGGGTACCTGCCAGGTTTCTCACAAGCCTGGAAGACTGTGAAGTAATCAGGCAGGGAGAGGAGGGAATTAAAAAAGGGAGGATGTAACGCTGAGACGGGGAGTAGGGCAGCACACCTGATATCTCCCGGTTTCCTCTTTTCACCAGGATGTGGGGTAATCAAGTTGGAGATGAAGGAGCGAAGGCGTTTGCAGAGGCGCTGAGGAACCACCCCAGGTTAACAAACGTGAGGTAAAACTCCAGCAGAGCCAGGCAGCTCAGCCTAGTGCTGGCTTTCACCTCGTGCTTTGAAGCGATGACTCTTCCCGCCAAGCGTTGGCTTGGAACGCCATCTGGTACTGCAGCCTTCACTGTGTAACCAACAGGCTCCTGGTGCAAGCAGAAGGCCAGACTGAATCAAAAAAGCCCTGTGCAGCCATTAAGCAAGTCAAAAATATTGCAGGGCTGGCATCCTTTCCTCTGTCTGCACCTCCTCCCCTCATGCTGCACAGAGTTACTGGCATTTGCGAAAGCACGTGGTCAGTGGATGCCATTTTGGTCTGGGAGCATCAGCAGAATGATGCACCAACTGTCACAGAATCGGGCTCCCAGCGAGCTCAGTATTAACAGTTCCTGTTGTGAAGGTACAGCAGCTTTTACCAAAGTAATTTCTAGGTGATAAACTGTTCGGGCAGGGACTGGGGCATTCTTAAATTCAGGCTCATCCTGTACTCCAGTGGAGCTAGGACACCACACACTCAATGCTAATTGAGATGTAGTTCTCACTGGAGTTCAGTGATTCATCTCCAACGAGCCTCCTCAAAGCCCTAGCATGGGTGAAGTTGGGAGCACAGCAATGAGGAGAAGCCAGCAGTGTAAAACAGCCCATCCCCTGCCAGACTTTCAAGTGCTGGCTAGGGATTTAAAGATGCACAGTGTGGCAGCTGCTGCTGTTTTGAAGTCTCCCTCCACACAGCTGGAGCACTGGATTCATGGTAAGCCTTTCAATTAGTCTCCCAGTTCCACTGGCCTCCACAGCAAGGGAGCAGACAAGGCTCTTTGGTTTCACCACGAGGTGGCACATGGCACCAGTTTCTTTAGATACACAGTACTCGGGCAGTTTGGGGATCTCTGGAGAGCTTACTACTGCCACTTCAGATCTAGGGATTTCAGAGCTGGTGCCTTGTCCTCCTTTATGTGAGTGGATAGCTGGGCTTAAAAAATTAAAAGCTGAACAGGTGCAGTGACCTAGATATATTTAAACTTAAAAGCTATCTGAAATAGCCATCTTCCCATAATTGCAGAATCCATCCAGACGCATCAGACTTGAAAGAAAACATTTTGAACCTGGATCAGAGCTGAGGGATTCTCAGACTGGAACAAATATGCTGATGAATGTGTTTGCAAAAATAAGGAGTAGTAACTGTGCTGGCTAAAGCTAAGTTTTGCTGGCACCTGTGCAGGGTGAATCTTCTGCTTTGTAATGTACTTTCACTTTGAGTTCATTTCGTATCTTCCACTGGTTAATCCTGCTTCATAATTTGAATTCATAGTTGGCACCAGCGGTGGCTTTATGCAAAGGCTAAAGGAAGACAGGCCCTACTAGATCAGTTTAGTTCAGCATATTTGCCATTTTTAGGCCCAGTCACGATGAACTGAGAATATCTAGTTTCAGCTGAAGCTAGGAGGGACTCATGCTAACACGTATTTGTGCTGTTGCCCTACTTAATCCCCATTTCTACCTTTTTTTTTGAGACCTTGCATTATTCTGAAGCTCTGGCTTGGCATTTGAGGGGGGTAAGTGCTTTTTGAACTCTCAAAGCCTGGAGCATAACCTTAACTGGATGATTTTGCCAATGTCTATTCAAAGAATGAAGGGCAGACTAAGAAGTGTTTGTGGTTTGTAATGGAAAGCATGCATTTACAAGCTCATCTCTCTATACACAACAGAAGGTGTTGTGTTTAGAAGAAGAATGAGGTATTCAGGCGTCTGAAGGACTTAAAGGACAAAGTGCCCAGTTTGTACAGGGACTTGGGATGACAAATGCATGTAAAAGCCTGTGTACTGCTAAGCACAATTCTTTGTCCTTGTTAAAAGCCTTAACTCTCAAAATCACTGTGTGCAACTCTGCTGCCAGTCCCAAGAGTACAACTCACTGACAACAAACCTTCTGGCCTGTATGATAGACCTGCACTCAGGCTGCAGCCTCTGAACCGTTCTCCCTTGTAAAAGTCATAAGGACTTACTGGTTTGCAAAGTATGTGAGCCTTTGAAACACCCAAATGCTGATCTCTACAACTGGGAAACAGATCATCCAAGATATTCACTAGTATTTGGCAGTGATGCCGGCTGTTTCTTACACGTTTGTGTCTTTACTTCACAGTCTCGCATTCAATGGCATCACGACAGAGGGAGGCAAAAGTATTGCTGAAGCTATGCAACACAACAACTCCGTGAAAATATTCTGGTAATTGTGTGGTCTACTTCTCCTCCTCTTCTTTCTCCAGAGACAGCTGCCGCCTAATTTTATTCCCTCCAATCCCATCGCCTCCTCCTGCTCTCCCCTCTTCCTTCTGTCCCTCTTGTCATCCCCTGTGCTCTCGGTACCATCAAGCTACAAGATGCACCCCTTTCAAAGAATGTGGACATGAGTAATGGATCAGCAGCACATGTCCTTTAGGACACATTCCAGAGTCCCAATGTCGTGCTTTGCTCTATTCCCTCCATCTTGCTTTCCCCATCTTCTCTCGCTTCCATCATCTGAAGTCAAGTTCTTTGTCCTCAGTTTTTACACCTCTTCAGTGTTGTCTCTACCTTTTTCCACTACACCTCATCCACCTTTTAGACACTAAAACCATCATAAGAAAGTATCATTAGAACATTTCTCTGAGACATAAAGATCTGATACTCTTGTCTCTTTTACCTCCAGGGCTTCCTCTTCAGTATCTCTTTGTGTCCAGCCTTTAGAAATTGCTCAGGGCAGGAACAGCACATCCCCCTTTGGCTGTCTAAAGCTAAGTCACAGACAACCTAGAAAAACGGGGCTGAAAAATAATGATAACATCCTAAGAGAACACTTTCTTTCCCACTTAGGTTGACTAAAAACGAGCTAGATGATGAGGCAGCAATGAGTTTTGCAGAGATGCTGAAGGTCAACAAGAAACTGGTGCATTTATGGTGAGTTGCATTCCACAGAGGCACAGGCTCTTTGGCAGTCACTGCATTAAAGCTTCACCTTCCAAGTCTATGTAGGTCACAGTAAGCTTTCTGTGCATGGTCTGGATGCAGCTGACTGGTTGTAGACAGTTCTAATGGAAAGTTAATAAAGCTGCTGTCTAGTGCTTTGAACCTGCTTTCATACAGGGAGAAGTTTAAGTTGTTTGTGTGTCCTGGTAACTTTCAAACTAATAATTGATTTAATCTCTCCTTAGGGGAACAGTATTGGCCTAAACACCCAAAAAAAAAAAAAAAAAACAAAAAAACAAGCAGACAGCTAGAATATAATAACCTTATTATGATTCTTACTATTTATCATCCTACTGTGAACGTAGCAAGCTCAACTCTTACTCTTCAACCAAGAACCTACAAGGCAGACACTTAAATACATGTCCTGTTTGCCTGATGTTTTCTTTTAGGGCGAGCACTTTCACTCATGCAAGACACTCATCTGTAAGACATAAATCGCCAAGAAACTAGGGATTGTTTCTACCAATCACAAAGAGACTTGTTAAACTTCTAAGAAAACTCAGCGTTAGCTGTTCTAATCCAGAGGTTCACAAGAATTTGTCCATGGATGGAGTTGGGCAGATGTGGGCTGTGAAACAAATAGCCATCCATTCATTCCAAGTGATCAAGATAACATAATAAATGGAGTCCCTTTACAAGCTTTACAAAGACTTTGCTAACCACGAACTAGCACTCCCTGTATTAATCCTAGTTCCCACCCCTTAGGAAGCGTGCTGGTTGTCAGAGGTGCCAGATACTTGTAGCCTTTTTTGAAAGAAGTAGAAGCTCTGGTGCCCATCACCATGAAAATAAAAAGGGGAGAGGCAGGCTTGATTTCTTTGCACACAGCTGCAGATACGCTTCACTGATCAGTTTGGTTTGAATTTGTGATAGAACTTCCCCCACCCAAAGCAGGCATAGTAATCTAGATAGATGTTTTTACCATGGCTCAGTATTGTCCAGGGGTTTCTGCCAGTAGACAAATTTGTATCGTACTTTGTTGGTTATACCAGTGGATACCTCCAAAAAGTAGTGGCCTATATAGATAGTTGAACTTGAGGCAGAATTAAAGCGTTTATCCAGTAGGGGAAAGAATCTACTGGATCTCTTTACATTTTTGATTCATTTACCAACTGCTGAAAGTCCTTTAATGAGGATGCCTCTCTGCTTCCATCCTTCCCTAAGAGATTATTCAATTCATTCCAATTTTGAGCCTCATCCTGGATCCCGTGGGATTCCTGCAGCCAGTCACAGGGAATGGTACAGCTATGGGGCACACCATAGCAGACTGAAAGGTAAATATTGAATTAGGCTAGACTGATGAGTATTTTCATACTCATGCAGATGAGAGGCTTTGTTCATTTTTAGCAAGGGGGATGGTGTACAGTGGCTAGTAAGAGTTATTATCTACTGCTTCATCAGTTGTGCCACTTGAGGATCTTTTGTATCGTTTTTTTCTCTCAGCTCAAATGAGACATACTTTATAGCTGCTAAGGTGGCTTCACTGGGACCTACACCTGCTCATACCAGAATCAAATTCAATGCCTTCTTTTTCAAAGAGCAAACTGGTCTGATAAACAAGACAAGGATTTGGCAACATCTAACTGCTAAAACACTAGGCCGACAGAGGTCCTGTACTCAGAATTTTTTGTACATCGCTTAAAAATGTCTTACAGTGTTCTTAATAAGAAAACAGAGCTAAGAGGTTAGTCCGTCTCAAGGAGTCCGAATATCATAATCCCATAGCAGTTGTAAAGAGTTTTTAGCAGAAATTTGTCAGCTATGTAATTAAGCTTAGTCTCTCCCAAATGCAACCACGTGCAAGATTAAAAGGAAAGCCTAATACTCTGGGCTCTGTTTCTGAAAATGCATGTGGCGCATTTGACCAATACTGTGTACCATCCTCACAGACAGAAATCACAACTTCTTGTGGGGAACAGACAGCTTTGCTTCTTGATGTCAAGCTGAGCGTAGTTCGTGCGTGCGCTGTAAATTAGTTTGCGTGTTAGTTTGACATGAAGTGCTTTCTTTTTAGGCTTATCCAGAATCAGATTACAGCCAAAGGGGTGAGGTACCTCAGCGAAGCTCTCAAGGAGAACACAGCCATTAAAGAAGTCTGGTAAAGATCTCTTCCTCAAAGGCTCACTTTGTAAACTTTCTTTCCCTTTAAAACAGTCCTGGCATTGCTACTTTCCAGCCTAAAAAATTCAGAGCAAGTTTATGTGAGACAGGGGTAGTAGTTCCAGCTGTGAGTTTCAAACTGGTAAAAAGCCTCTGTCATTCCTTGTCTGTTACATATGTCAAGCAGTTTTGTTAGTTCACATCTTTCCATACTGCTGATTCGCAGAACGTGTGGGTTTGCAGAATTGGGGTCTAAATTTATAGACTAAATTTTGCTTGTCCTGATTTATTTTTAAACTTCTGAAAACGTCCATGCTTTTCAGGAGCTAAATTTCAACAAGTAGGTTACATTTAATAAGCATTACTAATTTGGTTCATAGAATTTGTACTTGGATTTTCTCCGGGCGGTACTCCAAACACACTGAAAGTGCTTAGCTTTTTTGTAAAATTAGCTTGTTTCAGATTAGGTAGGCATCACACAGTCACACATGTGCCTTGTAAGGCACACGGCCAAATACCACATTCTTTCCCTTACCTCAGGGAGCTCCAGAGTCAATAGAACAGTGCTGGTTTTAGCACCGCTGCTTTATTATTGAACATTAAATTTATTTTTAAATATATATATATTTGTTTTAGTGAAAGGACACTGAATTCTTGCTTAGAAAGACAGTGACTCACTACCTGACTCGTGGGTTCCCTGGAGCTGTGGAAGGGATACTTTTTTCAAAGGCCACTGTCAGCTTTTGTCTACAGAAGAGGCATCAGTTCCCACTCAGATCATTCTGAATCTTCAGACCGAAATCTGTTTTTTGATTCTTGCCTGAATTTTCAGAGGTGCTCATTAACCCCCCAAATTTCATAAGTCTAAGTGGTTTAATAGTTTTCAACATTTCTGAAAGCTGCACTTACAGGCTGCTCATTTTCAGGGGTGTAAATATACATGTAGATGATGTAGCTAGATGTGAAAATTTTGCCGTAAATCATTTTATGTTGATAATGCCTGAGTACTTAACAGAGTTTTCTGCCCATGTTGTCATGGAAGACACAAAATACTCAAAAAACCATTTAAATTCCTTTAAACTAACCCGCTGCGTGCTAAGAACTGTTGTCAGCTGTATGCTGCTTGCTGAAATGAAAACAGCTGCATAACCAACACCACTTTTTAGTTCAGTGAAGTTGAGGCGTTAGTTCAGGTTTTATTTCTGAGGAAGCAGCCTTGTTCCTTGTCGGTGCAGCGGGAGCAGCGGCGCTGCAGCCTGCCTGCCCGAGGCCGGTTCCCAGCTGCGTGCCCCCGGGAAGCATGCAGCTCCCACCTCGGTACAAAGCTGTGATCTCTGCTCCAAAACCTTGGCAAAATAGGAGACGGGCAACCGTCACTACCTTACTTTCACATCCCTTCTATTTTTCACCTCCAGTTTGAACGGGAACCTGATAAGCCAAGAGGAGGCCAAAGCTTTTGAAAATGAAGAACGGATCATTTGCTTTTGAACGAGGACTTTCCCATTTTTGACAAGCGTCGTGTTACTAAGGTTACTCCTACCCTTGGACTGCAAAGTTTATAAAGGCATAAATCTGTAGTGCTCATGGCAGGAGAGAGATGCATGATTAGCTGCCTTTTTACGAACATGCTGCGCTCCCTCAGCCCCATCCCTTACCCTGCCTGTTATTCTTAATCCTTTTGGTGAGTGGGAAGTTGCCTGGGTAAATAATTAATGTTTGTATGGTGCTTTGAAGATGAAATGGAAAGTGTTAACAACCACTGGAAGGTGTATGCATTTTGATAGCTGAGTTTAGATTTATTCTGTACACTGATGTAAATAATCTCTAAGTTATTTATATACATAAATATACACACATACATATACGTATGCAAGAAGGGGTGCAAGATGCACAAACTCCACAAGCTCACAGTAACTGAAAATGAACATATGTGGCTTTCCTGGAAACATAACCTGTCTATAATAGTTGCATGGTACCAACATTTCCAACATGAATACCTTTCTCTTGCCTAGAAATCAGGCCCTTAGTTCTGCGCTGACTACAGGCAGCAGTGTCTACAATGCTTTTTCTCATTTTTTTTTTGTTTGGTCTCGTTCTTTTTTTGTTTGAGAAATGGATACATCAGGCTGAGATTACTCTCAATAATCTTTTTTTTTCTTATTGAAGCCAGTACATTTTCTTTTACACAACCAGAAGTCCTTACTGCCATCACTGTAAAAGCATAAAACTGGCAATAAAACACTCTGCTTAAAATTTCCTAAGGGCTGCATAGAAACTGCCACCTCCTGTTTTCACAGTGTTTGTTCTGGGGAGGGGGTCTGGAGATAAATGTGAAAAATTAATTAGCAGGCTGTTCATTGCCTTGGCTCTTGGCCTAGACACTGTGCTGGTGGCAGTACACCAATATTAAGTTGCCTAGTTTCAGTGGGGAGAAAGGATGATTGAACATCAGCTGCGTCAAGCAGAAATCCCTTCTCCAAGCAACACACAGAGAAGGATTGAGATTTACTTGGAAAGCTTTTTATTCTATGACTGAATTAGTGGAAAGTGCAAGGTAAGGGGCAGGTAGCAGTTTTAAGGACCAGCAAGAAAACATTATCCCCCCCACAAATATTTAGTGTGTAGGGAGTGTAATTTTAGATGCCTTTAAAAGAAACCAGTTTGCAAAGGAGTGGGGCATTTGATTATTTTTGTGTGTGTGCAAATTAAGCATGCTTTATAAAGGTAAACTCAAATTCTACCCCACAGTGTGTACAAGGAACCTAAAATGGAAAAGCATGATCCATTTTCCTTCCTTCTCCCATGTTACCACCCGTCCAGAACTTTGAGAAATAATTCTGCAGTTGCTGACTCACCCACAAAACTTTGGTAGGCTGGAAGAAGAATCTCCAGTTAAAATGCCAAACCAGTGAACCCTCACCTTCCCATTTCCCAAATCAGCCCGCCTGAAGCAAAACATCAGAAAAAGGCTTGGGTTTAAGTCAGACTTTCTCCGTTTCCTACATGGTAACAGACCTTTCCCAGGGCCCAATTCCATCTATTCCAGCTGACAAACACATTTTAAAATACTCATAAAGCTTTTCACAGAACCAGCACTTAAAAAAGAAGAAAAAAGGAGAAAAGCAACTTACCATTCATTATCTTTCAGCGGATTTTCCTCCCTCTCTGTGGTATCAGCACTGATTTTTCACAGGGGGACAGATGACTGTGCCAGAGGAAAGTCAGCTAACTTGAATGATTTCTGCACCTGAGCCGTTTGTTTACTGAAGCAAAAGGGCACACAGCTACAGACGAGCTGGATTTCAATTGCAAAAGCAACTGCCAAAGCAAGCCCTTTAAAGACTTCTCAGTGGCTTTAACAGATCAGACCCCCATGCACCTTGTCAAAACGTTCCTGTTTCACCAGCCTGCCCTTACGGAGGGGAGGAGACGCTGGTGCAGGAAGGGCCTTCAGCAGAGGTGTCATTTCCCTCTGTTGGAGGGAAGTGTGGCTCCCAGTTTGCTATAATCACTGAATTATTTGCTCATTTACCAGGTAAAAAATCTAGTTAAAAACTCCAGCTACTGTCCTCACTTCACTGATAGACTACAGCAGTACAGTGTCCCCGACAGCTCCCTCCAAGCTTTCCAGTGGAGACACTTCTGCCCCTTTTTTGGGTTTAGCACGGCCTTTGGTGCTATTTGCAGCAGGACAACCACCTCAGCCCCCTTGCAAATGCTGTTACACCCCCGGCTGTGACAAGCCAGGCAGCCAGGGCAGTTTTTTTTCAGCGACAGGAGCATCTTCAGAGCCACAGCAGCTAAACACGGCCTCGAGGCGGTGGCAGGAACAAGCCCAGCTCCACGGAGGCCAGAGGTTGGCATCGATTACGGCAGCCAGCGACCGTGCCAGTCACAGCCACTCATTTCAGAGGCTATTTCAGGCTGCAAGCGCTCCTTTGGGCTGGGCTGAAGGACATTTCGCAGCATCCCGCTCCCAGCTCGCCCAGGGCAGGCGGTCTGGTTCACGCAGCACGGCGCCGCTTCGGGAATTGTGCTGGGGAGAGCGGCTGCTGCCCCAGGAGCAGCTGGAGTTTCCCTGTTTATTGGCACAGCATTTCAGGCCGCAGTTCTTTAGTCTTCCTGGACTATTCGCAGAGCGCGTCGGAGCAACACAGCTCGCAGCTAGAGCCTTGTTCACCCCAATTCAGAGACAACTTTTTTAAGACTTGTTTGTAATTTGCTAAGACATTGTGTGCGGCGTTGTTTGTTTGTTTGTTTGTTTGTTTTTTTCCACTTGTCCACGGTGATAATAAACAGCTTTTTAAAGAACTCGAACCAGCTGCCTGCAAAGTGCTTTGGCTTTGCCGACGCCCTGTCAAAGCAGACGCTTGGCTGGATCGAGACAGGGCTGGGGCGGCCTAACTAATTCTGATTGCAGCTGGGGGAGAGGAGCTGCCCCTGCCCACGAGGGACCCTTCCAGCCGTGGGTGCCAGCCCAGTTAGGGGCAGCGCGGGGACACCGCACCCCCCCACACACCCCCCCACCCAACCCCGCTGCCGTGCTGTGCCCTCGCCGTCCCCCTGCCACGCTGACTGCAGGAGCTTTTGGTGTTCCCACCCACCGCTCGGGGTTGGGGGGGGATGCCAAAATTTTGCTGGCTTGAGGTGCAACACTTGACGTCTGGCCGGTGCCAGATAACACGGCGGCCCTGGAGAGAGCCCCGCTGCAGCACAGGGCCGGCCCACTCTGCTCGCGCACCGCCGGCTCTTCGGGGAAGGACGCTTTATCTGAGCCTGGCTTAGCGCCGCTAACCGGGTGTCAGAGCCCGGTTTCAGACTTGCGGGGTGGTGCAAGGCCACGCAGCCTCTGCTCTTCCGAGGGCAGCCAGCTCGGGATCCCGATCCGTCCGGTCCGCGGCTGGTGGAGAAAAACAGGAGCCGACAGCAAACCTGGATCGACGGCCGGAGTCGGGGAGCAAAGGCGTCAGAATCGCCCCAAAGGCAGCGGGGCCCGGGTGCGCCAGGAGGAAGGAGAGGTCGTGGCCGAGGCCGCTCGGTTTTCAGCCGATGGAACGAAGCGTCTCAGCAGCAAAAAGCTGCAGCTGCGGACAAAGGACTTGGCCCTTGCTTCAGGAGGTAGAAACAAAACAGCAGGATCGTGCCGAGGTTAAAACGGAGGGAAGGCCAGGTCCGGAGCTGCCTGCTGCACCTGGGGGCTCCGAGTTTACTCACAGGAGTTACTGTTGGCTTGCGGGACGGGTGAGGCTTCTCAAAACTTGGCAGAGCAAGAGCAGCGAGTCCTTCCGCGCTTCCCCAGGTGGGGACAAACGGTGAGAGGCTGCCGGGAGTGCCACAGGCGCGGGGGGATCCCCCTCCTTTGTCCTGGGGGCTTCACGTCCAAATCCCCCGTGAATCTCAGTGGAGGTTCATCCTCTGCTCCCAGAGGGAAACGAGAGGCGAGGGTGCGAGCTGCAGAACTGTGAAATGGCTTGCCTCAGGTACCCAGCGGGACTGAGAGGGAGGGAGGGCTGATGTTTCTGAGAAAACAGCAGCTTTGGCTTCAGGAGCACCAAGGCCTGAGAGGTCACAGCAGGCAGGTTAGGGAATAAAAACTGATCTCGTTGTCAGCCAGGGGCAAAAACAGCGGGGGGATGTCCTGCGCCCTCGTACGTCCCTGCTGACGGGGAGTCCCCGGGCGGCTGCACCGGGAAGCAGCAGGTTTCTGGCAGGGCTGGTGCCACCTCACCCACCGAAGCTCAGCGCCTTTGGGGGTCAAGCAACCCGTTAAAGTGGGGGATACAGAAATCCTTGTCACGCACAGGGCCCGCGGCCGCTGCTGGCACCAGGGCTGCTGAACAGGGGGGCTTCCCAACAGCCCCGGGAGGCCGGGACCTTCCGGAGAAACGTGGAAATGGCAGATGCGGAGGTGGGCACCAGGTGGAGGAGAGGAGGATCCGGGTATTGCCCGGTCAGGGTCATTCACAGGGCAGCGGCTCCGACACTTCACCGGCTGCAATTTTCCCACTTCGTGGAGGCAGCCGCTAGTGCGGCAGCAAGACGGGGCGGCACAGGCAGCTAAATCATCGCGCCCCGCTCACACGCAGCCCCCGGGGGGGGACAGAAGAGGCACGGACAGACACTTTCCCCCAGCTTAGCCAGGATTTGAGCACCTCTGCTGAGGAAGGTGCTGCACATCCCCCGGCCCGGCCCCAAAGGCGGCCGCTGGGCCACTGCCACTGCCGCAGCGAGCGGCTGCGCCTGCCGTCAAACCGGCCCCCGGGGTGGAAGCATCCCCCGTGCTCCCGCGGGGAAAAGAGCCGGAGCTCCAGCTCTAGCAAACCCTCTGCAAACAACTAAATTATGCCCAACTGCTCACGTCCGGGGATTCATCCTATACACTGGAGGCAGCAACTTAATTAGCTGCTAAAGCCTGGCGAGCCAGGAGACTTAGACCTCACGGATTGGAGCAAATGAAGCTGTCAAATTTTCATGCTCCCATTACCTACCAGACTCCTTAATCTTGAGTTTAGCAGATGTTAATCCTGGCCCAGGTGACTTGAGAAAAGCTGCTCCCTTTAGAAGTCACCGGGGTCCGCTGAGGCAGGGAGCGGGTGAGGACACCCCACTGCCGCCCAGGGGGGACAGCCCCATGGTGGTCGTTCTCCACGAAAAAGCTTGACTGGGCTCGGATACAGGCTTGGTGGTTTTCTTTTCTTTCTGTTTGAAACAGGCTAAAAGAAGCAACTAGGAAGAGAAGGGGGAAAAAGAAAAAAAAAAAAAAATAATAAAGGCTTTGTTAAAATGTAAACGTGTTCAAACAGAGCAAGCTGTAACCAGGGTGAAAATGAAAAGCAGGGCAGGAGCTCGACACAAAACGTGACTCAAAAGATAACGGCCCAAATCCAGAGAGGCACCAGGCACCTGCAGCTTCCACTGAGCTCAGCTGAGGACCCATCCCTGTGCTTTTAATATCTGCCTCCTCTATGTTCTTGCCTTTACGAGGAGTGAGTCATCTTGCGTCAACTGAGGATGGGCTTTATGCAATTATTTATTTATGTCAAACCCTCCTCCCTGCCCCCACGCATCCCTGATCTCATCCCCCTCAGAAAACAGACACTTTATTAAACGAGGGCTGGAAAACTCCGTTCTCACTTGGCTTTTGCTGAGGCTCCTTGTTGTTCAGCGCCCGGCTGGCGAGGTGACAGCGGGCACAAGCTGCGCAGCACCTCGCAAGCAGTGTCCTCCAGGGGCTTGTTTGGCTTTTTGGACCCAGGCACCCCTGTCCCTGCAGGGTGGGATGGAGCTGGGAACCTCCTCAGCTAAACAGACACGCCAAGGGATGTTCGCAGAGACCAGCAGGCCCCAGCCTGCCCCCCCAGAGACAGCATCACCATCTCATGCCAACAGCCCCTGGGAACTGCCCGGGGCTGGCACTGCTGCCCAGGCCACCCCTCAGGGCAAGTAATTTGGGGCATTGGTGGCACGTCCCATGTCCCAGCCATAGACAGGAAGGCAGGACACGATACCAACAGATGCCACTAATTTGAATTCTGCACACGAAATCCTCTACCTACTGAACTGGAATGATTTCCAGCAGATTTTCCCGATGCGGAGCCAAAAGCAGCTCTAATTAGTTATCAATTGCTTCCATAATACAGCTTGAGACCGAGCAGAAAAACACAGGAATTACTGGCAGTGAAGGAATTCAGGCTTCCCAGAAGGTGATGGGGGGGAAGTTACACTAGCAAGAAATACAAACACGTTCCTTAGTAATTACATCCAACTGTCTCTTGATGTAGACTTGAATAATTCATGCATTAAAACGATCATCTCCCATGGAGAGAATGGGAGGGTTGTAACTGTCGCCGTGCTTTAGCAGTGGGTTCAGCAGACCTGACCACACCAGAAGTTTTCTCATGAAAGTGGAGCAAGCAAGGATGGGTGCCCAGCCTCGGGGGACCCCATGCCAGCAATCCTGGCATCACATTCCACCAGCAGCTATCACCAGCCTGCCACCAGCCCCCCCTTGCCCAGGAACAGCACCCTCTGGGGTTGGGGTACAAAGCACCCATGGAGGAAAAGGCTTTTCCTGCCTGGAGAGCGAACTTTCATTTTCCCCATCCACACTCCACGGAACCTTGGTGAGATGCACCTTGGTTTAGCTCGGAGCACCCGCTGCCCCTGCCCTGGGAGGAAGTTTCCAGGCTCTTGAAGAACGATTTAACAGCCTCAGTGGCTCTGGGCAGAAATTCCCTCTTCCAGCAGCGTGTCTCGACAGGAGCCTGGGTGTAGCAGCCTCCTCCCAGCTGTGAGGGACAGACAGGAGAGAGTTGGTGACCATCGGGGACAAGGAAATCCACACACTGCTGAGCCACAGCTGCGCCGGCAGGGAGTCAGTTTTAAAGAGGAGACTATGAAGTGTTTTGGGAGGAAGCTAGGGTGGTGTTTGGGTAGAGGGAAGTGAAGGACTGAGTAGTGTATTAAGTGAGCTTGACGCTTTGATGGTGCTTCCCGGTCCCTAGGTGATGAGAAAAGGCTGCTCGCCACCCGTTTCCCCGCCACCTCTTTTTTTTTTTTTTTTTTCCCCTTTTTAAACCACCCCCACCTCCAGACCTGGCAGCTGTAACTTACGCTTTCTCTGCCGAAGATCACCAGAGGACACATCAACCAGAGACACCTCGCCTCCAGCCACCCGGGGAAACCAGCAGCTCCCCAGCGCGGCTCTGGAGCTGTGGGGAGGGCACCGAGAGGGGCCCGGGGGCTCGGCCCTTCCCACCTGCACAGCCACAGACCTGGCAAGATACCAACCTGCTTTTCCAGCCGCGACTACGCACCATGCATTGCTTCTCCTTCCCCTGCTTCAGCGTGGTCTGTGGCACAGAAGCTGCACCCCACAGTGGTGCCTTTCACTAACACTTTAAAACCAAACCAAACCAAAAAGCCACACACCTGGAAGTGTGAAGAAAAATGTGCTTCAAAAGATTTATTACATATATTTGTACATATTTTACATGAATGGAATGTTAAACATACAACCTAAAAAAAAAAATCAATAAAAAAATATTTTCATTCATGATTATGTACTGGCAAACCACTGAAAAGAGTACCTTAGAACAACTTAAGTCAATTTGCAATCATACTGCTCAATTTAAAAAAAAAAAAAACAAAAACAAAAAACAAAAACAAACAAACAAACATGTTTTACATTAGACATTGTAAATTACATTCTGCTTTCTGCTCCAGGTAATGAAGGAAGACGTCTTGCCCATTACCACTGCACATACAGGTGGCATTTCAGAAGCCAGCATGGAGTTCCCTCTAACTCGTTGTGGGCAGAGTTAGCTCTGTGGGAAGAGGCGTATAAAAAAGGGGAATATACACCCTGCTCCCTTCCAGCAGGTACCTGCCAAAAGGTAGGAAGAGCCAGAACGAGATTCACAATCAAGTGATAAGGTTAATGCTGGATCACCATTCCTTCAGTGTGATGCTGCAGCTTTTAAAATTAAGCAGTTCATCCCCTCTACAGATAAGCCACATCCCTTCTTTCTTGAAATTTCTAGTGCTTTGGCAGTACCAGCTAGGAGAGAATTCTTGAGAGTACGGTAACAAATTATTCAGTTTCATCTTAATATGTACAGGAAGAGCAGAGAATGCCTCTTTATGTCTCTTCCTGTTAGCATTTCACACCTTGAGAGCTTGTGACCAGTCACGTTGAGAAGTGTTTACTATTAAATATAACAAATTAGCAATAAAAGGGACAGATTTGAGGGAAAACAAGAGGAATGGGATTCGGCAACAGATTATGTTCTTGCAACGTCGGGTTACTTACACTTGAAACTCTGCCAGAATCAAGCAAATCCTACTTATCATTGCAAAATCTTTGCCAAAGCACACCCAAGGGCAAAAGTCTCTCAAACAAACATACATAGATTAAAAGCTGCCAGAAAGATCAGCTAGTGGGCTTGCTGCCTCCTTCTTCTTGTACACTGGCAACCCATTAGATCAAAGACAGAACCGAGTCCAACCTTTTTCAGCTGCAGGATATTCCTACAGTGGTTTACCTGAGCAAGTCTTCAGCAACTAATAATGCCCCACAGTGAGGTCATTTTACAGTTTATCCCATCATCAGCTCTGGCATACTTAACTGAGAAATGACGTTACAGAACACGATGCAGCAGCTTGGGAAGCCAGCTGAACTGTGTAGTAAGATAACAAAATGCAAGTTGAGACAACTCGAGAATAAGGACTGGGGATTCCCCCCGCCCCTTCGACAGGCTTAAAACATCTTCAACCCGATTTTAGAAGCAGGTTAATTTATACGGAGAAGCGTAAGTTTTACATTCAAGAAACAAATTCTAGACTTAGTTCCATCGTGAATTTCTCACGCAGAGTACTCTGAACGACAAGAAGTTAAGTGGTACGAGCTAATGACTGCTGCAGGAGAAAACATGTTTGGCTGGGTTGTTGCAAACCCATTACAAGTCCTCCTCTTCCAGCTACAACCTCTTACATTACTTTTGCTGATGCCAGTGGAAAGCGTGTCCAAAGACTGAAGGAATATGGCCTAAAGTGTATCACGTCTTCAGCTAGGAAGAGGAGAAGAAATTGACACTAAAATGCATTTCAAGATTGGAAGAAGGGAAAACGAATCATAAAATACAGCATTCATCAAAAACCAAGATAATCCTCCACTGGCAAAGGTGAGCTGGAAGATCCATAGTAGCACTGCTGCACTCCCAGGTATACAGTAGTCTCTCGGCAGGAAACTCCCAAATGTACAGCAAAAATGAGTACGTACAAAACAGCAATACCAGATTTGCACACCAATATTCTCTTTCAATATGGGAGAGCAGCTAAAATTCACAGAAACTCAGAGAAATCATGGTCTGTGGGAAGAGACATATCAAAACCAAGATATACGTTGTTGCTGTTTACACAGAGATAGTAGGAACATTCAAGTGACAAGTTCCCTGCTTTTGGTGGAACACAGAAGAAATGGAGCAAGCTTCTGAAGCCCTCACATGGAAAAGGCAGCATACTAAAAGTGTCCGTAAGCACATCTTATGTACTAGGCATTATCCATCCAGAAGCACCAAAGATCCACATTTCTGAAGAAAAATGATCTTTCCCACATTTGCTGAGATTTAAGTCTTCTGGGAGTCAGTTTTACCAGTACTCCTGCCTTTCAGCAAAGACTTAATTAAAAAGCCCGTGCTTCTAACATTAAGAACTAGGATAAATGTAAAATTATTGAGATTCGGTAATAAAACCCCCTTTATATCATACGGGGTGGGGGGGGTGGGGGAGCAGGGGGAAAAAAAAAGGTCACAAGTATCCATCCACCCATGTCTTTGTACATCACCTACATGTTTTCCATTTCAAAATACTGCAGTACACTTACCCTTGAACATGAAAGTTAAATTGATTACAAATAAGACCATCTGGCTTAGGCTTTATTCTTCCCCAAAATAAAATACCACAAATTTGCAGTGTGCTTTGTTATTTTTGCTTTCACGTCCCACTGAACTCATCACTGAATGTACACACTGAAAATTAGCTACCTCCTTCAAAAGGGAAGCGTTATTATAGATACACGGATTTGTAAGAGACAGGACGACCTGTGCTGAGGGCAGGATGGCTCTCTGGGCATCCTATGGGATACGGATATGTACAATCCAACTCACAGCCACCTCCACTATCAACCTCAAAACACAACTTGCTACTCAAGATACACGGGTATGTTACAAGTTCAGAAAAATCTCACATTTCAAGACAGTGTTGAGTCTACTCTTCCCCTTCTCGCAAGCAGCATGTTTATGGCAGACCTGAGTATGGGAATTATTTCACACCCTTACATACTTAGGGAAGATATAGGCCAGATGACAGAAAATACTCTGAAACAGCACAGAATTGGCATTCTCAATGTATTTACAGGCAAAGAAGCATATCGCACCCTAATTTAAATTATTGCTTCTTGTGGACAAGTGTAGTATTTCTTGATCAAGACACGGGACTTGTCTGGTGTTTATTTTTCCCCTTCTGAAGCACAATGATTCGGGACCACTGTGAGGATGTTTTTAAAACGAAAAGTGTTGCCTGTGACTAGAGCTGCGTCTGCAGCACGGTCATTGCCAACTGACCGACACAGCTGGTAACAGAAAGCTTACGTAGGTGAATTTCCACAGGCGTTTTCAAACCCAAGCATCGCTCTCATGCTTCCAGAGTCATTCTAGGCTTGGTCTATATTACAGGTTTTGATATTAAAAAAAAAAAAAAAAAAAAAAATCCTCCCATAGCCTTTCGAAAGAGATTTATGGATACCAAGAATGCCCAACTAGGATCTAAGGCTGACCTCGTATCGGTTCCTCTAATAACCCAAGGTATTGCTGCTCTACCATGCTGATGGAAGTAGCAACAGACTCCTGCCTGCAAAACCACACGTCAGTGCGAATGCTCGTGGCGTGCTTTTCCAACACTGGCCCTAGATGTAGGACAGCAGCGATAACTGCTGGGTCTTTAACCCCCCCTACTTGCATCCGAATACAGAAAATGAATGTTTTTGAGAAAACAGTAAATGAACTAGAAGTATAAACTACCACAACTGAGCTTAAGTTGTAAACAGGTTTATGTTTATAATATTTACCTACTTAATCCCCAAGCCAAAGGCTATCTATGACCTCGGAGCACAGGACACCAAAACACTTACCTACCCCCTTTACATTATTACAGGTGCGTTTCTGTAGGCATGAAGCCAAACAGTGAACATTATATCAATGCAAATGCAAAAGCTTTGCTTTCAGAAGATAGCAGAAATTCAAAACATTGGAAAAGTGGGCCTGCAGGCAACACCACTATTCGACTATTACAGGTGCTGTAATTCCTCATCCCCTCCCTCCCCCCCCATGATAACACAAGGCAACACAAATATTCTTGGCTAAAAAGGAACCTGTACAGGGAATGACTGCACATTTGATGAGACTACAGAATTGAAAGTGTAACAAAATGATTCTGCTCCCACTGAAAAAGAGAATAGAACAGGGCCCACGCAGTTACATGTTCAGCTGAAACCAGTGATGCAAGCCCAAAAATGTAGAAACTGCGCTGGCAATTACGACAATTATCCAGTCTGAACTCCTTTAGATTCGCAGCATAACAAAGGCTTTTTACAGAGCAACATTCAGGAGAAAATGTTATCCAGGCAAGAATTGCTCTGCAAGCAAGATAGGAGAGTTTAGTAACACGCACTGCACTTGTTCTCCAGATAGCAGCAGTTGCTCCTGTTCTTTGCCCTTTTTGATATGAATCACAGCAGCAACAGAGAGAATTATGTACTTAAACAAAAAAAAAAGCAGAATTATGTATGTACAAGAAAAATATTTGAAACATTGTGCAATTTATTTTAACTACTGAAGCCTGCTAAAAATGCTCACTAATAAATATTCATAAACTTTTCCCTGTGCTGTGAAATTCAGAAACTACCACGATTAATTCTTGATATAAAAAGTATGCTTTTAAGCCCTGATATCTGTTCCAGTTTTTGTCCTTTTTTTTCCCCCGTGTTTTTTTTTTGTTTGTTTGGGTTTTTTTTGTTTTGTTTTGTTTTTTGGTTGGTTGTTTTGTTTGTTTTGTTTTTTTTTTTTTTTTTTGAACTGCGATACTTTATGGGAACTAATACTTATCCACAGTTTTACTTGGTGTGCCCCTCCTAGAGACATCTTGTGTTTTGTGGAGCCCTGGCTATACCAATATAATACAGTAATATAATAATAAATTAAACAAATGCAGGTGCATTTAAAAAAAAAAAACAAACCAAAACCCACACCCCACTATCAAATGCTGGTCTCCACATGAAGATATCAAAGATTTAGATGCAAAGTACTACAGATTTTGCCATTAAAAAAACATTCAAACAAGGAAACAAAAATTTGCGCATTTTAGAACACAAATCCAACCTCGATGTTATCTCACCCATGCCTATAAAAACCTCTTGCTGTGCCCACGCTTGCCGTTATTCATTTACACCTCAGGAGGCAGCTTGGAGATGAGAGTAGTACAATAAAATAATTACCTGAAACATTTCTAAAAAAATACCCGTTAAACAAATTACCTTAACTGGCAGCACTTAAAATTGGTAATTCTTCTTTTTTTTTTTTTTTTTTTTTACTATTTAAAAAAAAGTTGCATAGCTGTAAGATTTTGCTTTGCTGCATTTTTTTTTGTTGTTGTTTTTACTCACAAGCAGTAAAAGAGAAGTTTTAGTTACTTAAATAGCAATACAGTGTGCAGATTTCAACAATTCCTATAGCTTGATCGATATAAATTAGTTACCTCTCTTGGTTTTACTCTTTGGACTGCATTGTGACAAAGGTTTAGTTACAAAATTTTGAAATATAATATTCCTATGCAGAGGAGTTTATGTTTTCTGTTCCTGAAAAAAGTGAAGAACATAAAACAGGGTGTGAATTCAGTAAATTAAGGTCACACTGTTAGATTATATTTAGTTTGCCATTTACTCTTCTTCAGCCGACGAGAAGGTGAAAATGTTCCCACTCAAAACCGGGGCCACCCTCCTGCAAGGGTCTCAGCGAGCACGTATCGAACGTCCCCGCTTCCACCCGGGGCAGCGGGAAACGCGCCCAACATCCCGCCTCTCCACAGAACCAGAAGTTAGGCTGAAATTAGGAACTTTGGCCTTCCATACAAAACAGCGTCAGTAATGTCTGCGGGGAGTTGATTGTTACAGAATGTGCAGCATTTTCAAAATCCCCGTGCGTCCTTGGCGTGAGCGTTTGGTTTACCGAGCGCTACTGGCGAGCAACCAGCGCCTGCAACGCCTTCCCCGTGTCACTGTCCACCTTTGCCTTCTTCAGCCACCAAGAACAGTAAGTCTCAAGCCAGGCACGCTGTGTTCGGCGAGGGAACCTCACATCTCCTCTGTTTTCTCATCAGTGGAAGCAGCTGTTGAAAAAGCAGAAGACGGAGCGCCATCACTTCGGCTATTTCAGTACACACCACAGGCAAACAGCATGAGCACAACCGCCGCGTGTTCCTTCCCCTTTTCCCTAGGCCCGCAGTTATCACCACCTCTGCTTTCTCAAATAAAAAAAAAAAAACAAAAAAACCACAAAAAAAACCAAAAAAAACCAAAAAAAACAAACAAACAAAAAAAAACCAAAAAAACCCACAAACAAACAAAAACAAACAAACAAACAAACAAACAAAAAAAAACAAACCGAATTTAACGTGAGGTTAGACACCCATGAGCACGTGCAGACCAACGTGTTCGTGAACAGTACGGGGGGTTCTTCCACAATTCAGTTGTTGGGGGCCGTATAGGAAATGCGTTTATTAATTTTGGCTAGCACTGTCCTGATGTTAAAACAATTACCCCTGCAGCAGGGTACCTTCCTTCAGGTTTTCTCTGCTACCCCTGCAACAACCATAGCACTGCAACGTGACCTGCAACACCGACCCATGAAACCAGATGAAACAAATGAACAAATAAATGCCAATTATGAAGTCTTCAGATTTTTTTTTTTTTTAATTTCCATCAGAACAACAAAACCAATTTCAGATATCTCCATTTCTCAAAGAGTTATTATGATTGTTGGTGTGTTTTGCAATGTTTAGGGACAGCAGTTTAACGCAAGATAAAGTTTTCAAACTAGTCAACTAAAGAATAAGCCTATCCTTTAAACCTTTGACACCAGCTGCAGATCTGCAATCATTAACACAAAACATAAGCTGGAAAAATGTGAACCTCTGCGAGACGGGATGGATAGAAACATGTTAACATTTTTTATTTATTTATATAATTGAAACATTCTGGAATGTATTAACATGAAAGTGGTTTTGAAAACACCTAGTTTCAACTTTTTCATATAATTCCAAAAGCTTTCCGTCAGAAATAAGTGCCAGTATACTCATGGAACAATCCAAAATTACACAATGGTATTATTTTAATTTTGTTTCATTTCCATGGAAAAAATACTCTTTAAAAGTTAATGCTAAAGCTTTATTGGCACTAACTTGCCACTTTCCAATCCTAAAACTGGAATACATCCTTTCAAACCATGCCATATAAGGATGCAGAAACCTTCTACATATTTCAATATACGTCAGCACTTACTGATTAATATTGCAGTTCTGAGGCACAGTAGCAAATTCACAAGTTTAAAAAAACAGCACAGTTATTTCAGATAATCAAGATATTTATTGTTGAAATGTATGTGTCTAAAAATAATTATTACCTAAAAACATGAATCTTGTCTTAATCTGATGGGTGCTCAGGGCAAGATCTATTTACTTCAAACCATTCATCTATGCAGCTGTTGGATGCAAGACAAAAATGAAAACAATTGACATGAATATCTCAGTAACATTTCGCAGTAAGATAAGAATATAAATTGGTTTCTCAATTTCAGTGACTAGTAGGATTTTATATTATACAAAGAAGTCTACGTATATACACACATCACTGAGAAAATGTATTAACCCCAAACCAGAATAATATTTGGATATTAAATACTGTTGAAAAAACTGAATTTCCTAAGTGATACCATTTTCTAAGGAAGCATTTTGCAAGTTAATATCCAGCTTTTATACAGAGGTTACTTCACTACTCACACTATTATCTTGCTCATATAATTGTCATTTTACTTCCTGTGGTTACAGACACTTGTGAAAGCAAATATGAAACAGGTTTAAAAAGTGTTTCCCCCTCCTCCCCCTGCAAGTCTGTGAGCATTTGACAAAAGTTAAGCACGTACAACCTAAGCTCCCTAGCCATGATGTTCCCCATACAGGTGATTTTTTCCCTTTCAGCTTTTCAACCAAGCATGAGAAGCCTACAGCAGCGAAAACTGACTTCAAATACATTGGTGGAGATGCAGAAAGACGTAATTTTAAAAACATCTTTAGGGTTGCTGCTGTTGCTTCTTTGTTGTTCGTTTGTTTTTTTAAATGTAACAAGCAACTAAGTTCTAGTACTCTTTAAAGCACAACCCAATAAATGCAACCTTCTGGAATTTCACGTGCATCCTGAGGAATACTTGCCCTTTATGATATATGCAGAGGCAAGGCAGCCGAGCTATAGTATCTCCTTGCTGCAGCTCTTCCAGGCATATTGCACACTCCCCAGCATCTTTACTCAGCACATCCTCTGAAGAAAGAGCACAAAGTTAAATGGTTAAAAAGCAGACTACTACGAGCAAAATCTTCTTTATTCAGAACATCGAGAACAGCTACAGAATACTTCTTGTCCTGCAGAAAGCCCTGTCAAGGTGAGGATCAGTCACACGCCAACTGACTGAAAATTCCTGATGGGAGACCTCTTAGCAGCTCAAATTAAAACATGGTTCTGACTCAGTTTCTTGCCTGAATAACAGAGCCGTAGCTCAAAATGAAGTCCTGTAGGAAAACACCCATATGCAGAAGGAGGTTAGCCATAACCAACAGCCAGGATCCCTCTGGAGTTTGTACTCTCCCAGCAGATCCACACCCACCACACAGGCTGCTCCCGTCTGGCCGTGGAAACCAGCCGTGCTGCCAACCCCCAGAGCGGGCATCGGAGAAGTTGGGTTCTTCATACAGACGGTAGGCAATGCTTCCAGGGCTTTAAGGATTCGAGCTGGGTGGGCTTTTCCTTGCTCTGCCTTCATCCCCATGCTCGATTCTCACTATGGAGGTCACATTCAAGCCTGAACAGAACATTTCTCTGAACGGGACACAGCAGGTAATTAAGTAGGTAAAGATCTTAACTTGTGAACGCTTTGCCTGCCATTTGCTTTTTCTACGTTCCTACTCATCTCTCTTCTATATATCTGGCTTTCTTTTACCAGCCTTGCTGGCACTCACATTTCACACCTTCAGCCTCCTCTTTGCACCATGTCAGCATGCTCTACCACATCCCGTCCCCCTTTTCCTCAATGTAAAGCATGCAACTGTTAGCAATAGGAGTGGGAGGTTTCCATCAGGGAAAAATCAGTGCTGTACAGCTCCAATGACCCTAAATTTGTGGGGATACTGAATTTTTTGCAGTGTCACCAAGTCCCGTAACAAAGAGGAAGTAGTAAGTTACTAGGAATGCACAAGAGTTGGCTTTCACACGGAAGTTTCTGGGAGAAATGTATTGTTTTTAATAAAAACCTTCCCTCTTGAACACTTCTCTTAGAACGTGGGATGCAGAATTCGCTCTTAGCACAAAGCAGAACAGGAGGTCACGTAAGGCCCCGTCTGCCAGAAGCAGGTTAAAAGTCCCAGTCAGACGCAACCTCACACAGTCCCCAGAGAATTCCCATCAAGGGGCCACGCAGCGACCACGCTGGCAATCTCTGACGGAGCAGAAAGGTGCACACGTGGCAAAGGAAAGCCCACGTGTCCCAATGTCCACTTTCATGGGAAAAGCTTCCCCTTCTGCACCAAAAGGAGCCTAAAGGGACTCATTATGGGGAGCGCCGTCCCCAGGTACGGCTGAGAAACTCCCAGCTCTACCCTATTCTCTCCAGTGGCTCCAATACTCAGCACTATGGCATTCCAAACACAGAAAATGACAAGCGGACAACTAAAAAGCTGTCATGGCAGCAAAAAGTGAAATGCAATCAGGTCTACCTTGTTTCCCTTAGAATGACGGCAAGCTGTCTCGCAGGTGCTTGGGTTTCTAAAACAGTACTTATTTTAGTCTCTGCTATATTCATTGGTTATGCTAAAAATACTGTATAGTACCACGTGTGTGGCATCTTCATGAGGATATGTGAAGAATATCTAGCAGGGGTGAACTATTATAAAGAAAAAAATTCAAAACAGAATGATAAACAATATATATCCAACCACAATGAAAAAAAAAAAGAAGTATTTTACACATGGTAACATTACTGGTAGGCGTTGTATTAAGAAATTGCTTCTGTCGTTCTGTCAGAAGCTGTAAGCTTCCAAGAACATTAGAGGTACTTTCAAGAGACAAAGCAATTTAAAGCAATACAAAATATGTTAAAAACTCTTATCTGTCATTACATAATCCTGACACTAAGAAGTTGCCCAGAAGAGGCTGCTAAGGATAAATGCTTCCTTGAAGGTTTTTGGCTGGTGTTTTTTTTTTTTGTTGTTGGTTGTTGGGTTTTTTTAATGAAAAGATGCTTTAATATCTGACACCAGGAGGCAAAGACTCTCCAGACAGCATCGTCCTGCTACAGAGATATTAATCTTTGCCTGAGGTTCTCAGACACTACCCTCCCAAACCGCCCCTTTGCACAAGCACCTTGCCAGAAGTCTTATGAACAGATCTACTCTCTTCCCGCGCTTAGGCTGCAGGAAGAAACACCATTATTAATTCAAGCATGTTTCATATACACAGAACAAACTTAATAAAAGTCCTTTTTGCCATGGAGTCACTTTATCAAATCAGCAGCCGGTACCCAAACCAAAATGGCAGCAAGGTATCTCCAGTGAATTAAACCCCAGCCTCCCTCCCTCGGCACTCTCAAGAGGGAAGCATTTAGTCAGGCTCTGATGACAAAAATTAAAAAGCTGTCCAATAAAAATACAACTTATAAAAGAAAACATTCCTGTGAACTGCTTTCCCATCATTCCCTACTGTACATGTCTGGCTTACCTTGGGGTCTGAACTCCCGCCGAGCAATTTAACAAGACTCTGCAGATTCTGGCTAACATTAGGGAAAGATGCCAATTTGCACATTTGTATCTCCCCCCCCGCCCAGCCCTGGAGTAAGCGTCTGAGCCTCCTTCCCTCCAGTACTCCCATACTCTCCCCAGGTGCCCTTAGCCTCGCTCTTGGCAATACCGGCCCAACTGGACAAGTCCCAGGCAACCAGTTTGCCGCCCTCCCTGGCCTCCCCCCCGGCATTCCCGCCGGGATGAGCCGACTCGTGCCAAGAGGGAGCTGGGGTCAACGCGGACGCGGCCTCAGAAACGCGGTGGCGTTCTGCCTCCCCTGCAGAAGAGATTTTGTTAGCTGGTTTCAATGCTCCTCTCTTCCTCCGAAATTGCGAGGAGTTGGCATTCCCTACTTCTTGTGCTAACCTGACGAATCCTACCAGGCTCTCGTGCAAGAAAAGCACAAATACCGAAGGAATTAGTGCAAAATACCCACCTGCTACAAATGCCCACATGCAGCTTGGCACTGCACGTTAACAGACTCCAGGCCTGTATAATTATGCTCGTAATTGATTACACATGTAGAGTGATAACAGCAAAACCAAAGTCCTCCACGGACCTACGACACCTCGGGTCTGACTCCCTTTTGGATGCTTCAGGTGATTCTGATCATCAATCCCAGATTAATCAAAAGGAGTGAAAAAACCTGTTAGACCTGGATCGGGTCAGACTTTGTTCTGTACTTGTTTCATACAGCACTCTCCTGTACCAACACCAGCTTATACCAGATGGAAGTCAGTTTAAGGGCCATTTAACACTGACTTTTAAATGTATCTGTTACAGAAAAATGAGTAAATAATTTTGCACAGAAACACTGCATTCTGAACCATTTCTTTTGGTTTTCATATTTTCCTGCAGTGGAGTGATTCAGCAGATTCATATTATTCTTTTTCTTCTTCTCTTTAAAAAACAACAGTTTGAGATTTCATCAGCATTATGATTAAAACATTTATATGACTCTGTTACCTAAATGGAAGTGGGAAGAGGAAATAAGCAGAGGCCAGTTTTCCATTTCACCCACACGTGGGTACGTACACAAACACTCCCCACACACCCACATCCATCTGCCTTGAACCAAATAGGAGGTAAACACTCCTCTGCCTTCCCAGCTATTTGAACAAGTACTCACCAGCCAAAGACTGGTGTCAAAGATGAAATCTGGGAAAAGAGCATACTGTTTCCCTCCTGTGTCTGCTCAAGCACTTCTTCCTCCTCTCCTCTGTCCCTGGTTAATAATCCTACTGCTTTAGCTTCTGATTGCCATTAATTTTTCCTCCTAAAATTCTGCTTTTATCTTTACTGAAAAATAAAATTCTACTCCACTCCTTCATTTATAGCAAAATAGGTAGTACTGAATTAAAATACAATCATCCTGACAATTTTGCACATACTTCACCAATTAAAAACTTTTTCTACAACTTTTGAAAAATACATCCAACAACTATTAAAAGCCACCAACTCAGTCACGGTAAAAATTATAGGCAATGCCTATGATAAAATAAGTCTGTCTTTAAACTGAGGACTGCAAAAAGCACATGCAATACATAACTTACGGATTAAGTCATTAAAATCTGCGCTACTGCTTTTTGGTTTTCTTTTTAAAACACAGATAGATATAGCCCTAGGCTCTGGAAACCCCAAGTCACAAATCACAAAGACAGCTATAGTATTTGGGGAGATATCGCCTTATAGCTGCAGTATTTTATTTCTCTCCAGGCATTCCCTGAAAACAGAACACCAAGTTAGAAAGACCTTTGATCTAACCCAGTATGGCAGTTTTTCAAAATATCTGTGTTTTTTATAAAACTTAAAAGCTTAAACGTCTGTGGAAGCTGCCATCGCAGCTAGCTTAACAGTTAAGGACACCACAGAGGTGCACCCTTTCATGAGTATGACAAACTTAATCGGAACATACCTTTTGAACACTATTTTATCAGCACTAAAATTGGTAAAGCAAGAGCCATAGGAGATTAAAAAGTGTTGATGAAACGCCATTAAATAGTACATGTTACAATCTATCCGTTACACATTAATTTTTTTTTGCCGATTACTAAAAACTCTCTCAGTTAAGTACTAGAGACTGCTTGTTTTTAAACATCAAGCTCTAGACATTTAGATGTCAACGTATTTCTTCATATGTATAGTATGAATTCACCCACATTGCGGAATTTATTCTACACTTTTACTGATAGCACCTTCTGGGACAACTCAAAGCTTTTTCTTACATTTTTACAAAAAAAAGTAGACAAGAAGGACCTGCACATCCACAACTATTCAGTAGCCAGCAAGTATGTGTGTATGTGATTAACATACTCATTAAATGTTACGGACTTGATTTACTAAATCTTTCCAGCTTTTGCTGCATCTGTTTTTCTCCCTCTCCATTCCTTTCCAGCTATCTCCTACTATGCTTTCCTCCTCTTCACACCCATTTTCCCCAAAACACCATCCTCTCCAGACCTACCACCCCTCCTACTCCCCCAATCATCT